CTTGACTGAGCAGCTGTTGACGAGGCAGGGGTGGTCAGATAGGGGGCGAGGGCGAGTGCATGGGTGGCTGCGTGCTCGTTTGTCTGTTGCATTGGTGCGGGCTGCTAGCCTGTGTTTGAGGGAGGCATGGCGTGGTGTTGGGGCGATGGACGGGGCTGGGGTGTTCTCATCGGATGAGTGAGCGTGCCCTTTGTGCATAGGCATATGTGGATAGATTCATGGAGGCGATTTGGACAAGCGAGTGCATGGATGCCATCTGTCAATTATCTCTCCTTGAAATAAAAAAATTCAAGACGATACTCTACTGGGGCCCCAACTCACGCGTGGGTCCTGCCTGGATCAAAGTTCCTCAGTGGCCTTCATCTCGGCTGCAGCGAGACGTCCTTACCACACTCATCGATGGCGGGGCAGACCTGAATGCGGCCGGCTTTCCGGTGGAGAGGAGGCCTCTACACATGGCGGTCCATGCTTGCAATGTGGCTGCATGTGACGTGCTCTTCGACCGCAATCCTGACGTCCGCGGCATGTTCATTATGGAGCTTCCATATCTCCACCGCACGCCGCTGCCCAAGCAGCATGAGGACGTTTGACTGCTCATCTACCGGCGGCTCGTCGAACGAGACGCGACGCTCGCAACCGAAGAACAGCGATATCCCTTGCGACCAAACCTGGTTCATCATGCAGCCGATTTCTGGCATTTCTCCTTCTCTCAAGCCTTCATTGACAAGTATCTCGACCTGATCGCGAACCATGGGGCCAACATAACAGCAAGAGAGCTCCAAGGCGAAGGATTGACCCCCTTGCAAAAGGCGGGTCAATCCGGCTCCTACCGTGTTGCCCACTATCTGTGCCGCCATTTGAGTGCCGATGACGTCAACGGCTCGGCCCCAAACGACGCAACCCTCACGGCCCTGGCCCTGAGTGCCTACCAGCTGAAGCATTACCATCACCTAATGCAGAATGAACAACGAGACTCGATGAGAGAGTTTTGCGCGCGACGGTGCCAGCGGTACCAGACCACTGCACGTGTGCTTCTGCGGGGCGGGGCGGCGCCATCCCTGTCGCTCATCTCCAGCCTGACCGAACCATCACGGCAGCTGGTGCTGGCTGAGTATGCGGCAGTGCTCAACGAGCTGCCGAGTGTGGTCATGGCGGCAATCAACGGTGCCCTTCGCCCCCAGCGGTGGCTCGCATCCGTCATCACCCCTCTGCTGCCAATCGCCCCTCATCACGACGGCGACTACCCCTGCCCATCCCCCTCCAACCTCTCATTCGGTCCACAAGAGGCGGAGGCCATCAGCTGGAAGATCGCTGCGTTTGTTTACGAGCCTTCTGCCGCTATGGCGGCGATCGACGAGCATCTTATCGGCGACTCGCGTCTGAGGCGTCGCATGCGTGTGGCTGTCGGCCACTTTGTCAGTCAGGCGAGCACTCGGGCGAGAGGCAACAGAGAGGTGGTGGGTGCATTAGCCGACGTGGGCGCGCTGACGGTGCGAGTGCCGCTGCAATGCTTTGCCGTCAATGGTGGGAGTGGGCAGCATCGGCTGCTGGGTGTGCGGGAGGTGGTGCACAGGGCCCGGTTGGACGAGGCGGCGCAGCACGGTGTCGAGGGTGTGGAGAAGGGCTTCAACGAGCATCTTGGCAATGACGACTGCGAGTTCAGTGGGTGGGAGCAGCTGGGATACTTGGATAATGAGAGACATCAATTCGTGCCGCTGGGTATCGATTGATAGATACCATGATAGATACAGTAGTTTGAGCCCCAAGTCTCTGTCATTTGGGCACGTATTTTGGCTGTTCGGGTGGTTTCCTGTTGCCGTACGTGTTCTGCGTCGCATCGAGAGAAAAGAACTGATTGCATCTTCCCGCTTGTCTGAAAGACCGACAATGGAGACAGACTATAAACACTCTGTCTGCGTCTGCACGCGGCACGGTGTCCGCCTATACACACCCATCCATCCAGCCATCCGTCAGTCCATCTGGAAATCTTTCCACGCACTCCCATCATGAGAATCAGTCAGCCTGCCTGACACAACGACCAGCAGCCGGCTCATCCATCCATTCGTCTCATGCCGGCTGCATGCCCACGCTCAGGACGTCCTGCAAGTCTGGGGGCAGGTCCCATCTCACCACCACGGCGTCGCCCTGATCGATGCCATCGTGGGATCAGACAATTATGCGATTGATTATTCCTCGCACGTGTTCGTACTTGAAGGTCTGTGAAGCCCAGCTGCTGGCAGTGCAGGAACGTTCGCGGACACCTGCACACACCAATGACAGACAGACAGATGGATCGATACTTTCGTGAATGGAATGATAGCCCCACACAGACAGCCGTACCATTTTCGGTCGTCCCCTCTCGATTTGCCGTTGTCGCCTTTCTCTCTCTCCCCTCTGGAGTGGTACTTGCTGTCCCCAACCACCGGATGGCCTATGTGCTGCATGTGGCACCGAATCTGGTGTGTGCGGCCGGTGAGGAGGGTGACTTTGAGAAGGCTGAAAGGCGCGGAGTTGCGCCTGTAGTGGCCCACACACTCATACAGAGTGATTGCTGGCTGCAGTGAAGACGTACCCACACAGACAGGGAGAGAGATAGATATACGCGTGTGTGCGTGTGTGTGTGGATGAGTATCTTACTTTGCCGTTGGGGTGCACGCGGCTGGTCTTGCTGGTGTGGGGGTAGTCCGTCAGCGTCTCGATCCGTGCATCAACTGCACACGCACACCCACACACACACACGCACATCAACAATGGCCGCTTCTCCATATCTCTCTCTCTCTCTCTGCGTGTGTATTCATGGCAAGAGCGCACCTCTCTGCTGCTGGCCGATAGGGACATTCCCATGCACCAGACAGACATACTCCTTCGTCAGCTGATGGCTCTGCATCTGGATGCGCAGATTGGCCCATGACGTATAAGTGCGGGCAATCAGCAACGGGCCTGAACGACAGGGAGAAAGAGAGCCAATGAGACACAATGAGATACTCGACAGACGGATGCCCACAAACCGCACCACTGGTCTCATAGTCAAGTCGATGGAGGAACGCCCGCGCGACTGCGGGGTCAGCATGAATGGGCTGAGACGGCTCATAGCGCTCTCGCACCCACCCCACCACCGAACGAAGCTCCGTCTCCTCTTCATGCTCGTCTTCCGTTTCTGCATCCTCATCATGTGGGTCAGGTGTGCTGCTGGTCTCTTGCACAGGCAGACGCTCGGACACTGCACACACACACACGGAGAGAGAGATGGAGGGGTGTGTGAGTGGGTCAGGTGTGCTCTAGATAGGTGCTAAGCTCACCCACACTGACTGACTCACTTTGGTATGAGTATGTTGGTGTGTTGGTGTTGGTGTCGCCTTCCATTGGGGTCCATGTGGTCGTCACACTCCAGAATGGCGGCTTGCCCAATATCTAACACACACACACAGAGAGAGAGAGAGAGAGGATACAGACATTTCACGGAAGCTGCAATCATACCAGCACTTCAGGATGGTGCTGCAGCACAAAAGGCTCGGTCGCCATGGCCGTCTCACCACCACCACCACCACAGCTCTCCCTCTCCCTCTCCCTCTCCCCTCCCATAATATCAACTTTACCAGAGGACACACCAACACCGACATGATCATCTCCAGGGTCGCCCTTGCGCTTGCGGAAATCCACAGCACCACCAGGGGAGGTCGATATGGATGTGGCCACGAGAGCATCATGTTCCTTTGCTCTGTTGATGAGCAGCCGCCTCGACTCATCCAGGAACGATGGCGTGAGCAAACCCGTCACAGAGAAACTCCACACTGAGACGGGTGAAGAAGAACCAAGAATGTGATTGTCTGTTGCTGACTTACCGGCAGCGAGTATGCTCTGCGACGAGAGTGCTGCGAGCCCATGTTGCCGCTCGATGGCCGTGCGCAAGCCCACCAGCACCTCCTCCTCCCCCTGTCTCTCTCGCTGCCCCCCTCCCCCCTCTCTCTTGGTCGCAAAAGCCCACGCAGTGCTCGCCGCCTGCACACACATACAAGACATCCATGTCTCTCTCTCTCTCTCTCTCTGTCGAGGGTGTCTGTGGACCGACCTCATGTGGCTTGAACCGGTGCATGTGCTGCATCGTGTGTGCGGTCAGGGGGCCGAAGAGGTTGTCGAAGTAGAATCCGGCGCGGCAGAACGCCCAGATGGTGTTGGCGAGGTCCTGAGTGAGTGTGTGTTGAGCGCATCGATGGAGGAAGGGATGGATGGATGGATGAAAGGACCTTCTGCTACCTAGGTACCTGGGCGGAGAACTTGGTGAGCTTTGAGACGGCCTCTCTGGCAATGGCCCGGAAGAGCTCTTCCTTGAGGTTCTGCGTCGACGCAAAGCTCCACACAGCGATCTACACACACACACACACACACACACACAGAGAGAGAGAGAGAGAGAGAGGGAGAGAGAGAGAGAGAGAGGGAGAGAAAGAGAGAGATACCGACGCCGGATGTGGGCCTACACCCTTACTGCCATGTCGTGCGGCGAGTAGTTCTTAATGTCGGCGAGCGCCACATCGCTGAGGGCATCAAACAGCTCGGGGGAGCGATACCCTCTCGACGCAAAGCCCCACATGAAATGACACACCTGCCAAGGAAGATAAGATGGCGTGATGTGTGTGGGGGGTGGAATGGAATGGCCTCTCACTGGCCGCCAGCCTTGCCTTCCTACCTCAATCGGCCTCATCCGCACCCCCTCTCCCTCTCCCTCTCTAAGAAACTGCCCCATCAGCTGCCGCTCAATCGCCTCAAACAGTTCCCTGTTGGTGTAGCTCAGCGCCGCGCACGCCCACACCGTCTTGGCAAGGTCCTGCACACGGCATCGGTCCATCTGCCCCAGCAGCTGCCGAGAGATGTGGCCGAGCAGCCGAGTGTCTTTGTACTGGTGCTTGGCGCACACGCGCAACAGACCGGCGTAGCACTTGGCGTCCCATGTGCTTGTGTGTGGGTTTGCGCAGTCTGCTTGCGACATGGCGTGTCTGCCGATCGCTGAAAGGACCCTCTCAATCTCTCGCCGAGCTGCCGACCTGCCCTGCTGCTGGGAGCTCTGAGAGCGGCTCAGTTGAGAGAGACACGCGGAGCAACTGAGCACACAGTCCGTTGGGGTGAGATCCTGACACACACACACACACACACACACACACGTGTGGAGCCCTCTCTGTGTGTGTCTGCCTGCATCCTTAGATACATGTAAGTGTGCGAGCAGGTAGTCGTTGGTGGCAGTGTAGCTAGCCAAGCCTCCCAAATCGATGCCCAGACTCCCACACGCCCACAGAAAAGAGAACAGGTCCCTTGGCCGGAAACCAACATAGCGCCTCTCCAGCGTCACCTCACACACAAGCGCCTCCAAACACGGCCGCACCGCACTGTCGCCACGCCCTGCCCTCGCCGCAGCCCACACAACGTCCTTTATCACTTCTGCCCCCACCGTCGCCCTGACCGGCATCAAGCCGCCCTCCAACAGCCTCGTCCATATCTCGCTCTCCCTCTCCCACCCAGGGTGCAGCCGCGCGATGGCCACAAGCGCCATGGCCGCGTCGCGTGGGGCGATTGAGGTGGTGTTGCCATTGGGTGTGCGAGTGATGACTGAGAGGAGCTGGGAGAGCAGGGTGTCGCAGAGAGCGTCGCTGGGAGACCATCTGGGTTTGGTCTTCACGCCCTCGAGTGGCTTGCGCGACAGCCTCGCCAACCTGCACACACACAAAGAGAAGAGACCAACACAACACATGGACAGACAGACATTGGCCCATCGCAATCACTCAATCAGTTAACGAATTTGTGATGAATGCAATGCAATGCGTCTTGTGCTTCGATGCGATGCGCCCACCCGTCCGCCCACCTGTGCAGAGCCATGGCACACGCGGGAACATCGAGAGAGCCGCCATGTCGGTCCACCATCTGCCGCAGCTCACCCATTGATCCACAAGCCGAGAGCGACCGCATCAGCACACGCATGTCTGCCTGTGGACCACCATGGGCACCGTCACCGTCATCATTGGGCTCATTGCCACGATTGCCATTGACTGATGAGATCTGATGAACGGCATCGTGCAGCTGGTCAGATCCGGCAGCAGGCGCAGCAGCTGCAGCTGCAGCAGAGGTGGTTGCCATTCTCCAGCTGAGTGCAGCCCTCTTCATCGCTGTCGCCATGCGCGAGCTTAGCCGGAGGGACTGATCGGTTTCACGAATCTCCTAAACTCTGAAGGGCCTGGAGGATATTCCCCGGCCTCCGCAGCCCACTCCAGCTCGGTTCTGAAGCCACCGGAGAGCCCTCCGTCGGCCAGGTGCATCGGCTCTCCACCTCCCACCCCTGCAAGAGAACCACCTGCACGCACACAAGGTGAGGGCCGTCGCACAGGGCCTCAGGGAGGCTGAGAGAGGCGGTAGGGATGGGCTGCAGCCAGTGGGTGCGGAATGCATCGCTGGGCAGCGGGAGAGAAAGGCCGTTCTGTCGACTGCATGAGAGTGAGGAGGGTGTGAGAGGGGTCAGTCAGGGAGGGCGGGGCGGTGTGTGTTAGGAGGGAGGGGAGTCAGCCCTTTGGGCGTGGCGTTGATGCTCTCACCTGTGGTGCTGTGCCTCGGTGTGTGGCAGGTGGGTTTGCAGGGGCATTGGTAAGGAAACCGTGTCGTCGGGCTGCTGGAGGCAGCAACTACACCCAACTAACGAACGAGCAAGGTACGCACAGAGGGGTGGAATGGAGAGCACCTGAGCCACCAGCCCATGCAGTCACACACATACACACACGCCACGCAACGCTCTCCTGTGTGCCGTGTCGTGTGGTCTCCTGCAGGCAGTTCACTGGTTGGTCGTTCAACGCCACGCCCTGTTTGTTGCCATCCATCTCATCTCATCGACCAGTGTGGTTGATAGCCATCATAGCTACTTAGCTGTCAGACAGACAGAGATGTCCCTGACACACGTTGGTCCCGAGGGGGTGTCGCTGTCGATGATGCACCCCATCCCGCCCTCACCCTCCTCCACCCAAGGCACCGGCACCCACCAGATGCAGATGCAGAGGATGATACAAGTGCCCAAGGCCCAGTTCGACCGCACTCAGGTCGCCATACAACAACTCAAGTACGCTCTCACCACACACCTGAGACCCACCAACACACTCACCCTCTCTCCCTCTGTGTGTTGTGTTTGATGTACAGGCGCCAGCTGGCCGAGAGGGAGGACGAGATCCGGTTTCTGAAGCGGGAGTTGCTCGAGTCGCTCGCACTGGAGCCCGTTTGCTGCGCCAAATGCGACATGCCGCTGCTGTGCTCGGGGCCGGCACCCGAACCCTCCCCTGCACCAGCTGCAGTGGGGTGTGACGGTGGAGAGGGAGGGCAGCAGCCGGAGGGGCCTGGCAAGGGGAACGGCAGCGGCGAGAATGGAGGGAGCGAGTCGACGTGCTCGACTGAGACGGACCCGCACAAGGCGGCGATTCTGTCGGGGGAGGTGGCGGGGTGCAAGTACTGCTGGTCGCTGAGGTCGTCATGGGGGGTGCCGCGGTACACACACACACACACACACGGGGGAGGGGCAAACATACCTGGCATGGACGAGTGTGATGTGTGTGTGTGTGTGTGTGTGTGTGTATGTGTGTGTATGCAGTGTGGGCCACCCCTGCATGACGGTCAAGACGCGTCGCACCTCCCACACGGAGAACCTGCTGGCGGAGATGTACCCCGACGGACACATGGTCCCCAAGGAGGCCGCCGACAAGGTACTCACGCTAGCTAGCGTCACTGCACACCCACCCTCCCTCTGTGTGTGTGAATGTGTGTGTGTGTGGCAGGGCGTGTACCTTTATGCCTTCTGCCCCCGCTCCTCCGACGACACCACCCATACCCCCTTGCAAAGGATGACCACCTACGCGCAGTGGTACGACACCATCAAGCAGGACCTCCACACACACCTCGCCAACACCTCCTCCAAGAGCAAGACCAAGACCAAACCACCCAAGACCAAGACCAAGAAGCCCACCACCACCAAGGCCGCCGCCGCCGCCGCCGCCCCACACACACACTCCTCACCACCCACTGGCAGCAACGAGAGCGACGACAAAGCCGAGGAGGGGATGTCACCCGCCTCACTGCCCACTGCGGCGTCGCCCTGCCACGGCGGCGGCAAGAAGCGCGGCGCGAGCAACCCCCCGCAGCCAGAGGAGGCCGAAAGGAAAAGGGGCCGCGTAGACGGCACACCGGCGAAAGACCAGGGCAATGGTCAGACAGACAGACAGACAGACAGCCACATGACGCCTGCAGGTCCTGATATGTCCATCTCTCTCTCTCTGTGCGTGTGTAGGTGGCAAGGATGGCGAGGCGGCCGAGGTGTCTTTGCGTGTGACGGCGGCTCCCGGCCGCTTTGAGAGCCGCATCGAGCGCGTCAAGGCACTTCAGGCCACCACGCCCAACCCCCCGAAGGCCTCCCCTGCCGCCGCCACCACTGAGTGAGCACTGACCACCGATGTATCTATATCACGTTTAAGACCACTCCTCACTCAGTGTCTTGGGAGCGTTGTGTGTGCGGTGGGGTGAGTGGTTTTGATATATAGCCAGACAGGGAGGGAGGGAGGGAGGTATGTGTGCTGTGTGTGGGTGTGGGTGTGTGTGTGGGTGTGGGGCTGTCACTCCATCTTTCAACGATCGTCGAGTGAGCGAGGTCAGACAGACGAGGTTTTTTGACGGCCCCTCACCACACACACACACACACATGGATGGATGGATGGACGAAGGAAAGGCCTGCAATGCATTGTAATCATTGCATGCGTGTGATGCCCGCATGCAACTGACTGAGAGCGTGTTGTGTTGTGTTGTGTGTCAGGCTGCAGCAGTACCATTAAAGGGGAATGGGGTATGGCGGGAGAGATGATATGATGACACAAAGAGGGAGGGATATTACAGAGAGAGACAGAGAGGGATATTTATTCGCAGTCAGTCAGTACAAATGTGCGTGTCGACCGACATGACTTCCATCCCATGATCGTTCCACCCCGCCCACACCACACCATTATTTTGTTTTCTTCACACCCACACACACACACTCTCTCTCATACCAACGCGACAGTCCAGACAGACAAGACAGCAGGGAGGTCACCTCTTTCTTCCCCTGACTGACGGGATGGGACGGATGCCATTCATCGGTACCATGTGTGTTGGTGTATGGTTTGTGGTCGTTCGTTCGTCAACTGACTGACTGACTAAGTGTGTCTCGACACTCGAGGGATGTGATCGGTAATCGACTTTCTGATGTGGTGAGGGCATGCCATGCCATGCCATGCGTTCAGACTCTCTCTCCCTGGCTGGCATGACAGACACACACGTACTCTCAACAACACACAGATAAATGGCAGGATTGGATTGGATTTGTTGTGTGGCCACACGGCACGGCAGGCACCATGGTGCCGCCATTTGGCCGTGCCAGCTTGACGGCCACCCACAGCTGCCCACTCAGTCAGATGGCGTTAAGGCGAGCACGGCAGGGTGGATATATGGACCGATTGCAAATTATGGCACATACACATTCTGTCTTGAGGATTTGTCGCGATAAATGAGAACAGGGAGGGACATACACAGTGACCGACACACTCACACACTCACACGTGTGACACACCACACCCCTGACTGACGACTCACTCGACTGACTGCACCCCTCCCTCTCGGCCCCCTCTCCCTCTCTCTCTCTCTCTCTCTCCGCCTCTGTACAAGGCAGCCACACATGCGGCTAGCCACCCCACTTCACACATTCCCACACTCCCACACTCACAGACTCACAGACATGTTCGTTCGTCCGTTCCTTCTGAGACCGCCCCTGATTAGATGATGTACTTGGAGAGGTCGCTCTGCTTGGTCATCGTCGCCAGCTTCTCCTTCACCATATCGGCCGTCACCTCAACAGCTGGACACACACGCACGCACACACACGCACACACACAGAGAGAGAGAGAGAGAGAGAAAGATGCCCGCACACCTCTCCTCCACCCACACTCAGCTCACTTTTGCCGGTCATTTTGTGGGCGTCGAATTTGAGGTCCTCGAGGAGCTTTGCCATGACGGTCTTGAGCCTTCGGGCGCCCACATTAGCCGTCTCGGTGTTGAGTGTGTGGGCGATCTTGGCGATCTCGTTGATGCCGTCGTCGGAAAACTTGAGCGACACGCCCTCCTGTGGAGGGCAGTGGACGGACACACAGAGGGAGGGAGGGAGGGAGGGAGGGGGGCGGGAGAGAGGGTGGATGGGTGGTGGGTATGTGGCGAGGAGGTCGGTCTTACGGTGGCCAGGAGAGCCTCCTGCTGCATCAACAGGTTGTATCGCGTCTCTGTCCACACACACACACACACACATCTCACTGCGTGTCTGTGCCCCATGTGTGTGTGTGTGTGTGTGGCTGGCCTCACCTTTGAGGATCTTGATAAAGTCGGCCTCGGTGAGAGGCTTCAGCTCGCAACGAATCGGCAGACGACCCTACACACACACACACACAGCACACACATGGACCCACGCGGTTCCCAATCCCTCTCTCTCTCTCTCTCTGTATGTGTGGCTGCTTGCCTGCAGCTCTGGCATGATGTCTGTGGGCTTGGACTGCGTGAAGGCGCCCGACGCAACGAACAGCACATGGTCCGTCTACACACACACACGCACATACAGAGAGAGAAATGTGGGGCTCTGTGCGTGGGAATCGCAGTGTGTGTATCTGGTGCGGGTGGCTACTCGGAGTCTGCCGATCTTGGTGCTGACTGTGGTGCCCTCCATCAGTGTGAGCAGCTCTTTCTGCACACACACACACACAGAGAGAGAGACACGTCATTCTCTCCATATATTGTCTAGAGAGAGGCGGCGAGGTCGGTGGGCTGACTGACGTACCTGTACTCCCTTTCTCTTTCCCTTGTAGCCGCCCTCATTCTCCTGCTTGTCAGTTATCAGCTTGTCAAACTCATCAATGAAAATGCTGACAGACAGACAGACAGACACACGCACACACACAGACACACACACACAGACGTGTGACGCGTCTGGCTGTGTGTGTGTGTGTGTGTGTCTGTGTGTTGGTTGGTAGGTTGGGTGAGTGAGGGTGGTTGCGCTTACATGCCTCTCTGCTCAGCCGCCACTCGAGCATTCTCCGTCAGGTCCTCCTCATTGATCAGCTCATTACTGACACCCACCCGCCCACCCACCCACACACACACATACACCCACACACACACATACACACACACACACATCAGCACCCACCCAACCTCTCTCTCTCTCTGTCTGTCTGAGTGGGCATGGCTTGGCTCACGCGTAGTGGTCCTCCAGGAGGGGTCGTGCCTCGGCGACTTTGACTTTTTTCTTCTCGCCCTTCTTTTTGCTCTTCCGGCCGCCGGTGCCAAAGAGGTCCTCCAGCTTGCTGTTGATGTCAGATGCATTGGGGCCCTGCACACAACACAGGCCATGTGTGGGTCATCCGTGTGTGTGTGTGTGTGGAAACCCCCTCTCTGTCTCCCTCCCTCTCTGTGTGTGGGGTTACTTACCTGCACGGATACGCCGATGGGCACAGCCGAGATGCCCCCCGGGCGGCCGCCGCCCATTCCGCCGCCGGGCCCCCCAGCCATGTTGCCGAAGATGTCGGCCAGGGGGCTCTTCTGAGGCTCGTCACGGGTCAGCAACTCGGCGTCGAGCTCGACCTCCATCTCGTTGAGACGGCCATCCTGCAGACAGACAGACGTCACATGCACCATCCCTCCATCCCTGTGTGTGTGTGTGTGTGTGTGTGTGTACGTCGAGGTATTCGCTGATGAGTGACTCGGTCCATGTGTCGGAGAGGGGGTTCTTCATGATGGCCTTGATCAGCTCGTTCTTAGCCCTGGTCTTGGCCTGGTCCATCACCAAATCCTTCATACGGCGCTTCTCGTCCATGTACGATTGCTGCGGGTGGGCCCACACACACACGCACACACCAGCGCACACGTCTGTCTGTGTGTGCCGATTGATTGGTACCTCTGCGAGCTCGTGCACCATGGACACGGTATCGTCACCCACAAACCCCACCTCAGTGTATCGGGTGGCAACAACCTTCACCTGCACACACACACACACACAATCACGCACACATGGACCTCTCTCCACCCATCCACATGGCACGGCCTGGCTGGCTTTGCTTTGCTTACGAATGGCGCCCCAGCAAAAGCGGCGAGCCGCTTGGCGAGCTCGGTCTTGCCGCACCCGGACGGACCGATCAGCAAGATGTTGTTGGGCGTCACCTCCTGCACACACACCACACACACACTCATATGCACACAGGCGAGAGAGCGGCTGGCTTGGCTGTCAGACAGACAGACAGACAGACAGACAGACAGAGGGTTCTCTGACCTTCCGCAGGTCGTCATTCTGCAAACTCTGCCGTCGCCATCGATCTCTCAGTGCGATTGCCAGGGAACGCTTGGCGTCATCCTACACCCGACACACACAGGCACACACACACACACACACACACACGGGCAGAGAGAGAGGGAAGACACTCACACACACCCACAGACACTGCATCTGTCTGCATCTGTCTACCTGTGCAATGATATGTTTGTTCAGCTCGGCCACAATCTCGTCGGGCGTGCGGTTGAAGTCCTTGGGCGCCGGCATCAGCTGCGGGTGCGCATGTGAGGTGGACAACTGACGCACACCCACACCCACACCTAGCCTCGGCGCTGCCACTCTGGTTGCCGCTGCTGCGAGAGGCGGCAGACATGCGGGTGATGCCGACAGCATCGACGGAGATGCCGCTCGTCCTAAACGTAATGCTTGCCGCACCAGCATCCCGAATGCGTGTGATTTGCGCTGAAGACAGAAGTTGCCACACCTGCGAGCTTAGCTTGCAGACAGAGTCTCAGGCGCTCCGGATCCCGCCCCTGCCACCATCCATTCATTACAGCAGCCTCCCATCTGAGCCTTCAGCTCCTACCCCCCGCCATCTTTCCTCCTTTCCCCTCCCCCACTTGCCACTTGCCCCATTATGGACTACTGGTGCTCGCGCCGGCGAGAGGGCTACTGCAGGCCGTCGACCGAATGTTGCCACATCAGCTCGGTGGGCTACACCTGCGAGCGGGCCCTTGGGAGGCCTTACGTGACAGAGAGTGGCGAGTACGGCCGCTTCCACCGATACGAGGCCCCACGGGGCCTCTCGCCAGGCGGGTGCATACGACAGCCATTGTGCACACGCAGTCTCACCGTCTCTCTCTCTCCCTCTGTGTGCAGAAAGCCCTCGCAGAGAGAGGGCGCCGCCGCCGGTTTGGCTGAGGTGTCGGTCAAAGGGCCGTGTGTGGGGGTGGATGGATGAAGAGGCGGCGCGGCTGGCTCGCCGGGTGGCCAGGGGACTCTTGGGCGACAATGGTGTCGACGGATTTGAGGACGACTGCTCGTATGTCTCTGTGTGGATGGATGGATGGAGGCGGGGATGTGCTGTTCGATGATCTTATGTCTCCCTTTCTTCTCTGCGGGTGCAGCGGCTTTTGTCGCGATGATGTGCACTGTCACGAGCCACCTGTGGCTGATCCTGAGCGCAGGGCGGCCATGATGGCCAGGCATGATAGAATCGATACGCAGGTAATAAAGCGAGAGACGCCACCCCGTGGAAGAGAGAGGTGCCATTGTGTGTGTGTGTGTGTGTGTCTGTGTATCAGAGGCGGCGTATGGAAGTGCAGAGACGGTTGACGCATGGCTTTCGCAGAGAGATACAAAGGCGTTGCGCTGTGTTGTCCGCAACTAAGTCAAGGGCATGATCTGTTTGATGCATCCATCCATCATTCACACAATAAGTGCCAAGCGCCAAATGACAGTGACACTTTCCCTCTCTCACTTACTCACAGCGAGAGCATGCATGTAAGCCACCCACTCATCCCGATCAAGCACGCCCCCACTGCCTCGCAGCACACCCATCACCTCCCCTCCCCCCTCACGCGAGCGCTGCCTCACCGCCCGCGTGAACTCACCCCACTCCCTCAAGGCCTGTCTCAGGTCGTCTTTCTGCCCATCCTTCAGGTAATGCGCCGTGCGCATGTACGCACGGTTGAGGTGCACTGTAATCGCTATGCCGCCCGTGGTGAGCCCACGCACCTCCAGCAGAGAACACAGGGCGCGATCATACGCCTGCTGCGCGCGACTGCTGTCACCTTGGTCGATATAGACCAATCCCAGATGATACCAAACACACGGAACAGCCATGGTGACCTCTCGCGACGACCGCAGTTTCTCCAGACAGGTTAGGAAGGCGGTCTGCGCCTCATTGAGGAACAGCCGCCTCTGCTGCTCCTCCCCTCCAGCCCAGTTTGATGGCGGGGGCGGGCCGTTGATGGCGAGATAATGGAGAATCATGGCTCTAAGGAAGTAGTCAAGGGCGTGGGGGAGAGGGGCGTAGAAAGAAGACGATGTCTCAGCATCGCTCGGAGAGGCCGGCTGATCACCAGAGACACACAGAGAGAGACGCCATCTCATCCGCATATACAAACCTGATTTGCATGGTGACTGACGTGACCCTCACCTCTATGTATTTCTTTGTGACTCTTGGCTCGCTGACGAGCCAGCCATCACTCAACAGCCGCTCCAAAGGAAAGGCCTGCATCGGCCGGAGAAGGGCAGCCGGCAGCCGATCGGCCGGGCTCTCGAGAGAGCACGACACCCACTCCACCAGCTTGCCTGGGCCATCACCCATTGGCACAAACCCCAACTCCTCCCCCCCACCCCCCTCCAGCCGCACCAACACCTCCTCACGCACAACGATCCTCCCACCCAGGAGTATCCTCACAGACAGCCGCAGCAGCAGCCTCCCACCGGTGTCCTTCTCCCCCTTCCCTGGCTCAAGCCACAGCTCCACCTCTCCCCCTCTCTCGACCGGCCCTCTGACGCGCCTCAATCGCTCAGGTGGGGAGGGAGACACCAGACAGGGGTGGTCCAGAAGGTCGAGTGTAATGGCCCAATCCGCACGAGTGCGATACCCGAACGCCCCGTTTGGACGGTGGGCGACGCTGGCGTCTGGTGAGACGCCTTTTGGTGGCAAAATGCACGTGCTGATCTCCAGAAACGGGGTACCGGCCAGCGTGAGCGTTGTCCCTCCTTTGCTTTCTGACAAAGGCGCGGCGGCTGACCAACTGACAAGGCCGTGCACACGGACGCTGCTGTCCACATAGACGCTGCGCGGAAGGGTCACGGGAAACTCTCTCAGGTCTTGTCTCTTCTTCTCCTGTCTCGCCTCTTCAGGCGAGAACGCCTCCACCCAGAGGCTGCGGGCCTGGCCCTCCCACGTATACCCGCCCTCAGGCTCTCTCTGCCGCACAAGGGCACCGGCCCTCATGGCGAGCTCGCCGTTCGTGACGAAAGAAGTCCGCCCCACTGTGTGCGCGATAGGCTCGCTTCTCGCGTCTGAGAGAGCTGGCGGCTGTGGCTGCGGGGGCCGCTTCCCTATCGCCTTTTGTCTCTTTTCTTGCCGGGGCTTGACTGCTGGGGGCTTTTTGTCTTCAAGGGGTGCGGGGATGTCTGGCGAGGTGGGGGAGAGGGTGAAGGAACGCTCGATGGTCCGTGCTGGTGCTGGTGATGGTGTGGGTGCTGCATGCAGAGCAGACCAAAAGATGGGTGGATGTGTGGCAATGGACACACAGAACTCAGGCAAAGAGACAGAGACAGAGAGAGAGAGACCGACCTGGCTGTGGTGGTTGTTGTCCTGCCTGAGGCTCCCCGAAAGTCGCTGTCGGCCTCCGAAGATCGTGGAGCTTGTGGGTCTGTCTCTGTGGCTGGTTCGGCTCCACAGGTCGAGCCACAATCCTTTTATCGTCTTGATATGTCGATGTCGGCATCTGACTGAGCGGTGTTGGTCTCGTCGGCTCATCTTCAGAGGGGCGGATGTCTGTGTCTATGTCTTCGTCCAGGCCTTCCTCGCCTTCATCACGGACAATCACACGCCCAACAGCAGCAGCAGCAGCAGCAGTAGCGGAAGGGCGGAAAGTCATGCTCATTGCCGGCAAGTCCTCCTCAGCCACTTGCTCGTCATGCTCATCAGCTGCAACACACACAGACGCATGGATGCATTCAAATGGACATACAGACAGACAGACAGACAGACAGACAGACCGACCTGCTGCTGCTGCTGTTGGTTCTGGCCGTGTCAATGGGGGTGCTGCCACTGGTGCTGCCACTGGTGGTGGCACCACCACAGGCTGCGCCAGAATCGCTTGAAAGTCCGCCAGCATGGCGGAATAGTCGGCTGATCGGTCGCCTCCGTTAGGGGGCGGGAGGGCGGGCTGTGAGGGGCGTTCAGACGACATCGTGACGGCCTGGGGGAACGAAAGAGAGAAGGGAGAGCTGTCTTCTCGTGTGTCTTCGCATACGTCCTGTCTTGCACCTGACAGTCAACCACCTGTCGGCTGTCGTGGTGCTGCATTTGTGTGTCCTCCGCTCTTTGGAGGAGGGGGGCGCCAAGGGGGAAAAAAGAGACGCCGCCAAGCTCGCAACTCCGAGGCCCCCCCAGAGAGTCATCTATTGTGTGATTGCCCTGTGTGTGAGTGCTTGTGGTGGCAACACACAGGGCTCTCTCGGGGCTGAGGTTGGGTCTGACATATGACGCGGGACGGTGTGTGAGTTTGCACACACACGAGCGTTGCCTGTTTCTGTTTGTGTGTTGGTGCTCATTGTATGTGCGTGATGGCTGTATGTGCAGAAAACGTACAGGCTGAGCCTCTTGTGAGAAATTGGTGACCTGTTGCCTTTCCTACCTGGCGGGCCTTGTTGTCTGCACATATCCACATAGAAAGGTCAAACACACACACAAAGAGCACATGTGTGTCTGGTGATGTGTGTGTGTGCGTATGTGTGTGTGTGTAGAGCCACCGACCAAGAGAGAAGAAAAGCCACAAGTTAAAGAGCAGCGATCATGGCAGAAGTGGACGACATCAAAGTCAACCTCGATGGCCTGTCCGATGAGGAGGTCGCCAAGCTGCGCGCCATCCACGGCTACAACGAGGGTAGGTACCTGCTTGCATTCACACACACAGACAGACAGACAGACATTGCTCAGTCACTGCTCTTTCTCCCTTGCGCAGTGACGCCCAAGGAAACGCCGGAATGGGTCAAAATTGCCAAGAGGGTACGTCAGTCAGCTTGTGCACACGACACGCGTGCATGCGGATGGATCGCTTCATGTATTGGATGTGTGTGCAATATGCAGTTTACGGGTATAGTGCCGATCATCATGATGATCACGGCCGTATTGGGTGTTGCGGTGCCCGACCCCCGAGGTGAGCGGCGAGTCAGTCAGCAAATGAAGATATATGTACTCTCTTATCTGTGTCTGTGTCTGTGTGTCTTCATGTGTGGGCTCGCAGATCCGGGCAATATCGCGAAGCGTGACTGGATGTCTTTTGCTCTGCTGGTGCGCACGCGTCAATGTGCGTGTAGGAAGGACTCTCCCTCTCCACACGCACTGACTGCAAGGCAGTGTGTGTGTTGTGTGGGTGTGTGGGTGTAGGTGTTCGAGCTCTTGCTGGTGGTGGTGGTCGACTACTACTCCGATAAGAACGCCGGTACACACACACACACACACACAGAGAGAGAGAGAGAGAGAGGTGCCACATCCATGTGTGTGTGTGTGTGTGTGTGTGTGCAGGGAATGCCATCAAGGCCGTCAAGGACCTCAGCGCCCCCGAGTGCGAGTGCAAGCGCAACGGCAAGTGGGAGAAGGTCAAAGTCCGCGAGCTGGTGCCCGGTAGGTGTGCTGTGCACAGGGAGGGCGAGATGAGATATGCATCTTCACGCGAATCTCTCTCTCTCTCTCTCCCTGTCTGTCTGCTGGTGTGAAGGTGACATTTGTTTTCTGGGCGGCGGCGTGGTGATCCCAGCCGATGGCAAACTCGTTGGCGAAGGTAGGTACTATGTACGTCCGTCCCATGCACACACACATATGACTGCCTGCCCTCCGAGCGTGTGTCAGGTGAGCCGGTGCAGATCGATGAGGCCGCTCTCACTGGAGAGGCGCTCGCCGTCACCAAGAGAGTGGGCGACGAAGTAAGAACACACACACACACACACACAGAGAGAGAGAGAGAGAGAGGCATCGCACACGGACACGGGTCTGTGTGTGTATTTGTAGGTGTTGGCGGGAGCAGTGGTGCAGTCCGGCGAGCTCGACATGATGGTCACCAAGACGGGCGAAAACTCGTTCTTCGGCAAGACACTCGCCCTCCTCGGAAGCGTCCAGGTGTGTGGGTGTGGGTGGCTCTCTCGTGCTCTGTCTGTGCACATCGTTAGTTATGTGTGTGTGTGTGGGTGTGGGTGTAGGAGGAGGGTCACCTGAAGAAGACCTTGGGCAAAGTGGCCAAGACGATGGCCCTCATCGGCCTTTTTTTCTGTGTCATCATATTTATAGTCAGAATCGCCCGGAGTGAGCGCGAAAACCGCGGGGTTCGTAGGATGCACACACACACACGGAGATGGAGAGAGAGAGAGAGAGAGAGAGTTCGCAACCACCTGTGTGTGTGTGTGTGTGTGCGAATGTGTGGACAGGATTTCGTCGCCCAGACGGTCAAGCTGTGTTTCGTGATTCTGACGGCCGTCGTGCCCATCGCCATGCCCGTCGTCACAACCACTGGTATGCACACACACACACACACACACACACAATGAGGGGTGGGGGAGAGAGACGTGTGTGTGTGGCATCCATCCATCCATCCATCAGTGTTGTCTGTGGGTGCCCTGGAGCTCTCGAAGGAGTCGGCGGTGGTCACACGGCTGTCCGCCATTGAAGAGATGGCCGGCATTGAGGTGCTGTGCAGCGACAAGACGGGCACACTCACCCTCAACAAACTCACACTCGACAAAGACGAGGTAGGTCCTTGCACACACACATAGGGAGAGACTCGTTAATCGTCTGTCTGTCTGTCTGTCTGTGTGTAGATAACCTGCGGCGAGGGTTTCACAGGCGAGTACGTGTTGGTGATGGCCTCCCTGGCGAGCAAGCTGACCAACCAGGAGCCAATCGACAAGGCCATCACGGCAGCAACCGACCTCTCACAACTGGAGAAATATAAGGTGGGTCGGTGGGGATACACACACGCTTGTCAGCTGATATTGTTTGTGCCTCTTTGTTTGTGTGCACGTCTGTCTGTCTCTTTGTTTCCCCTTCCAAAGGTGACCAAGTTCATTCCCTTCAACCCGGTGGATAAGAAGACAGAGAGCACTGGTGGGTGGGTAATTAGAGATGACACGCTCTCTTTCTCTCTCTCTCTCGCCCACTCTCTCTCTCGCGCGCTTTCAGTGTTGTTCCCGGATGGGACCATCAAGCTCATCTCGAAAGGCGCGCCACATGTGATCCGCAACATGGTGAGGGAGGGAGGGAGGGAGAGAGATTGCCTGCATCCCACTGCATTCCCCGTCTGCAATCGTCTGTCTGCTGAGCGAATGAACCAGGTGGCCGTCAACTATCCTGAAATGGCCGAAAAGTAAGGCGGCTCACCTATACGGATACACCTGTGTGCAAGTGTATGTGTATATGTATGTGCAGGATGGAGGGGATCATCAACGGCAAGGCTGAGAGGGGCCTCCGAACACTCGGTATGTCGGCAAGATACATACAAGACGAGACGACAGACACAAACACTCTAGGCCTAGAGGCACCAGCAATTGTGGATCTGGGTTTGCTTTGCAGGTGTGTGTTGGAGCGACCCCGAGACGATCGACTGGCAGTTTGTCGGCCTCATCTCGCTCTTTGATCCGCCTGTCAGTACAGAGACAGAGAGAGAGAGAGAGAGAGGAGCCGCTCCGATGTGTGCGTGATGTGGGTGATGTGCAGAGAGACGACACCAAGCACACGATCGAGCAGTCGATGGAGTACGGAGTTGACGTCAAGATGGTCACGGGCGACCAGCGCGCCATCGCCATCGAGACGGCACGGCGCCTCGGAATGGGCACCAACATCATTGGCAACGAGGTCAGCTACTGACTTCTCTCGCTCTTGTTTGCGACACGCGATGGATGTGTTGTGTTGCTTGGAAACACATGCAGATATGGAGCACGGAGTCGTCGCTGGTGGAGCAGAGGGGCGGGCTGGGTGAGTTCATCATGTCGGTCAACGGCTTCGCTGGCGTATACCCCGAGCACAAATTCAAGGCAAGCCGTCCGTTGCCGGCAGACACACACACACACGTGTATGGGCATGGGTGAGTGTGTGCAGATAGTGGCGGCCCTGCAGGACATGGGCAAGCTCGTCGGCATGACGGGCGACGGCGTCAACGTATGTGCGACGGTCGTGGGGCATCACACACACACAAATCTTTGGACACATGTCTTCAGGATGCCCCCGCGTTGAAGAAGGCCAATGTCGGCGTGGCTGTCGCTGGGGCGACCGACGCCGCAAAGGTAAGACATTCCATCACGTGTTTCCTTTTCTGTATGTGTGTGTCCTCCCTCTCTGTGTCTCGTCCGTCCACCATATCAACACAAACATACTCACAGGGTGCGGCGGACATCATTCTGCTGCAGCCAGGTCTGTCAACGATCGTGACGGCGCTGCTCACGTCGCGGACGATCTTCCAGCGGATCCAGAATTACATCATGTACCGCATGGCCTCGTCGTCGCTGATTCTCTTCTTCTTTGTCCTGTCCATCTGCGGTGAGTCAGTCAGTCAGTCAGTCATTAGTGGGTGTGAGCCTGTCTATGTGTGTGTGCAGCTGCCGAATACGACTTCCCCACTTGGACACTCATCCTTGTATGCCGCCCCTGCCCTGCACACACGCGGAAACACAGTTGATTGATCTTTTCTCTCTTCCTGCATGAAATGCAGTTGTCTCTGATCAACGACTTCACCATCATGAGCACCAGCAAGGACAACGTCGTCCGCGCGGGAGTGCCGCAGCATTGGGACCTCAAAAAGGTGGGGCAAGGGAAGGACGGACGACACACTCCACTCCAGCCATGCATGGATGGATGGATGGATGCGACACACACTTGTCTGTCTGTCTGTCTGTCTGTCTGCAGGTCCTCATCGTGGCTGGCACGCTCGGCTTTACCAACGTGATCGGTAGGTACGGCTGCTTGTGGATTGGTCGACCATTCATGTGTGTGTGTCTGTGTGTGTGTGTGTGAGTGCAGGTGCGTTCTTGGGTTTGTTTCTTTTTGCGGACGGCGAACAGATCGCAGGGGGCATCAACTGGTGGAAAGGTGAGCCAACGAGCGGATGGAGGGTACTTTCTTTGTGTGTGTATGCCCAAACCGAACACACGTGTGCAGGGTGGGGCGTCGACGATCTCCTCGTCTACAGAAAATACGTATGGGCCCATTCTGCACACACACCCGCACCCACACCCAGACGCACACGCACACACATGGACGGACGACTCGTGTGGATGACTCTGTGTGGTCCACACGCAAAATTCAGGACGGCTCTGAATGCAACGAGCAGATTTCCCTCACCGACGATGAATGCGAGATCTCTATCGTAAGTGAGTGGGGGCCACACACACACACACACACATGCAAACCAACACAGTCCATCGAACTACCTGTGTGTCTCCCTCCCTTTGTGTGTAGGCGCGGCTCAACGCGGCTGTGTACCTGAATCTGGCGGTGATGATCCAGCTCAACATTTTCTCCACGCGCACCAAGTCATGGTTCTGGTACTATGACGGCGTGGTGAGGGAGCTGAACTGAAGTGGACTGACTGATATGCACATACCCACACAAAGAGAGAGACACAATACATCGATGCCCTCTTGTGTGTAGGAGGCCAAGCCGCCTTCGATAGTGGTGATCATCCCGGTGATCGCCTCGATGGTCCTCTCAAGCGTACTCATGCTCATGTGCGTTCCTGTGCTGCAATCAATGCATGCTTTTGTGCAACATTGCGAGGGGTGTGTGCGTGTGTCTGTTGGTGCAGCTGGCCGGGAGATTTGCAGTTCGGTGGAGGCGCGCCAGTCGAGGGCATTCGTAAGCTTGTGTGCAGATAGATATGCCTCTAGACGTCCATCCCATTCGTGTCTCTGTCTGTCTGTCTGTCTGTAGGGATTGAGCACGTGGCGATTGTGTGGCTCTACTCGTTCATCTGGTTCTTCGTAAGACACACACACAACACACATGCACACAGACAGACAGACAGACATGCACACAAAGCACGCGCGCGTCGCCATCCATCGACCGGTCATCAGCTGGGTGACATTCTGAAAGTGCTGATTCTCAAGAAGTTCTACAGCGACGACGCGGACAGCGAGGACATGCTCTTCGGATCGGTGCTGGCGGGAGAGAAGACCAAGGAGCAGATCCAACGTGAGTGTGTGTGTGCTGACGTTCCTCTCGCCCCTCCCCACACACACGCTAATGTTTGTGCGCTGTGTCTCATGTGTCTGTGCCTGTGTCTGCAGAGGAGGTCAAGAAGCAGCTGGAATCTCTTCGTAGAGAGTTCCTCAACAAAGAGATATCCAAGGACGGCGTCACTGGTACACATAGCCCCACACAGACATCAACATAGACGCAAATCTCTCTCCCTCTCTCTCTCTCTGTGTGTGTGGGTGGGTGGGTGTCTGTGTGTGTGCAGAGTACCTCAAGAGAGAGGAGAAGAGCCACGAGCTGATAAGGAAGAGAACATCCGAAAACCTGTAAGTCACAATGCTATGCACACACGCGCATTCATACGTTCGCATGCACACGACTGACTGAATGCAGGTCTGTGAGCATCGGCTCACCTCCCACCAGACCCTCAGGGCTCGCACTGGTACGTCGGCTCGCTCACACAGATAAATGAACATACACACGCACATTTCGATGGCGTGTGCAGGTGCCGCAGCCGTCTCAGCCATCCCCCGGTAAGCTCTCGTGCAGTGCTCGCCAGTGGGTGAAAGTATGCACGTCTGTGTGTGTCATCTCGTGTGTGTGCAGAGATGATAAGGATCGAGAAGCACCTGAAGAACCTCACTGCACAAGTGCAGGCCTTGACCGACTGGAAAGAGGCACTCATCAAGACAGGTCGGCGCTGATAGATACCCACGTGCATATACACACGTGTGGGCGACGGATGTCTGTCCAACTCAGGCGCTCTCCCTCGCGAGCCCAAGATATCAGACGTTTGAGAACCGCACACACCACCCACCCGCGCATCTCACACACATCCGATATACGTCAATTCGTTCGTATACACACCGCCACACACACGGATGGATGGATGAATGAATGGATGGATGGATGGATGGACGGACTTGTGGTTTTTTTTGTTTTTTCCTTGCCACCTACGACTGATTGCTCTAGTGACTGAAATGAAAGCCCTCTCTCTTTGCTGAAATAAAGAAACCGATCCCGTCGGCAGATCCCTACACAGAGTGCACGTGTTGATGAGCTCAGTTCACTAGACTGACACAGAGAGTGATCATAGAGTCATTCCCTTCCTCCCTCCGTCTGTCAAGGGGCGACACAAATAAACAAATAAGTAGAGCCGACACACAGACAGACACAAGTAAATATAGCTATGGCCAGCATCTTGTCCGTGCGGACGGAGACACACACGACACAGATAGTAAAAATGGAGACCTAATGAGCAGCACAACAGATATCGATATCCTTCACAAATGGTACAGACACAACAGCCCTCCGAGGGCTGAGCTGACATGTGCCGCCTCTGCCGCGTCTTTGCACGACTGACCGACTCAGACAGACTTGATGGCCCTTTTTCCCCATGCAGTGTGTTGATGCATCAATCCATCCATACAGAGACAGACAAACATGGACGCGTCACATCAGGTCAGTCACGTGTGTCGGCCAGAACGAAGCTCAATGTCAATGTCGAGGTCGCCATCGATGACGTCTACGCCGCCTGTCGCAGCCAGCACCTCGATGGCCTCCAAGTCCTCCTCGATGCTCACCAGGAGCACAGATATCTCGTCGCCGATCTCAGCGCCGAGTGCCGCCCGAAATGCGTCGATACTGGCGGTGACTTCGGCCACAAAAGCGTCAAAACCGGCGATGAATTCGGGGCTGTACGGGCTCTGCTCTCTGGTGGCCTTGGCGGTCTTGACAAGGCGGCCCTTCTTGAGTTTGCTGACCGTCTTGCGCACTTTGTCGACGGTCAGCCTGGCGGCTTTCTTGCTCTCTTCCTGGTCCATGTCCTTGCCTGCGCTCACACACACGTGATGGACACACGCACTGCATTTGCGTGTTGCGTACCAGCAGCGGTGTCATGGTCCTGCTCCTGGGTGTGTGGCTGGATGTCTTCGGATTCACCCTTGACCTGGAGAGCCGTCAAGAACTCCTCAAACTGCCACGCAGAATCCCGTACACACATGCACACATCCGTTTGTCTGTCTGTGCCCGCCTGGCAGTGCGTCTCTACCTGCTGCTTGAGGGCATCGATAGGGCCGCCACTGCCATCTGCTGCCCGACGCTCATCGATCATTTGTGCCGCATCAGCAGCCGTGTGAGAGGGGGAGGCGGACAGCAGGAGGAAAGAGGCCAGTGACAGGGCGGATACCATCGCCAGCTGCACCATATGGGAGCGGTTTATGGATCAGAAGTGGAGATGGGCGCTGTACGATCGTACAGTGTCAGCCGTTGTGCCGTTTCCTGGCGATCGTACGTAGTATGTGCATGTTCTCTGGTCCGTCAAAGACACAAGTGAGTGCAATTCGGTGTCAATCAAATGCAATTCTTTGTGTCCCTAAAAGCCCACCCTGACTACTCCTGCCACGGGATGTCTCACTCCCCCATGCATGCAGGTAAACAGAATCTGATACCCCTTCCCTAGGCAAATGCAATTGAGATACACGCAACGCGTGTAGACTAAATGCCCAAATCACACAAAAGACACACAAAGCACACGCACGCGGACCAACTGGCTACCGGTAGAACTCTGTCTGCCTGCCTGGCTGGCTGGCTGCTTGCCTGCTAGTCAGCAGAGTGCAGCTCTCTCTGTCTGTCTGTCAGGTAAGTCTACCTAATCAAACCTACTCTACAGGTCAGTGTTTGTGTCGACAAGAGGCTCAGAGGAAGAAAAGAAGGTGGGGGGTGGAGCGTGTGTTGAGCCGAACAGAGGTGTCCCCACGCATGAACGAATCTGTACATCCTCCCTCCCTCCCTCCCTCCCTGACTCGTGCACATCCATCACCGCAAGAAAGGGCGCGCGAATCTGAAAAACATGTGGACACAGATGAATATCGTACAGCTAGCAGTGTCGTGCATCAGGATTACTAGTGAATGGCTTGAAAGAAAGAAGAGTACAGTGCATGCAGGGTGGTCGTATCGACCGACCGACATGCACATGTACGTGAAGATAAACTACATGTATCGACGCGCATGCGCGTGTGTGTGTGTGTGCACCTCTCCCTCCATCCCTCCATCCCTCCCCTCTCCCCGCCTAGTGGTAGTGCAGTGGACGTGAACACGCACTCATGCAACATGTAACATTCATCCATCAGTCGTTAGTGCTCGTGATGTGTGTGTATTGTGCCGTGTCGGCGGGTGCCTCCCTGGCATGGCCAGGCGGTCGTCATCCGCGTCCTCCTCGGCTGCATTGGTGGGCTTCTTGGTCGTGGAGGTGTTGGCGAGGTGTGTGTGGAGGTCCCGCTTGATGGTGTCGTACCACTGCGCGTAGGTGGTCATCCTTTCTACGGGGGTGTGGGTGGTGTCGTCGGTGGAGCGGGGGCAGAACGCATTCACATCTACCCCCCCTGCACACACACACACACAGGGCGAGAGATGGATGGATGCATGGACATACATGTGCGTGTGTGTGTGTCTGTGTGAGTCCATGTATATGTGTGTGTGTGTCTGTGTGACCTCGGTGGAATTGGTGCGGTTGGCAGATGTGATGGCGTCTTCGTGTCTGCCGCCCCCACCCTATCGAAGCACACACCCATCCACCCACACACACACCACACTTCCAAGTGCCCCTTGCCTGTCTCGTTCTCCTCACCCGTGATGTGAGATAATAATACAGGACGCCCGCAACGAACGACAGGCCGCCCATGCCCATCAGTGGTCCCCCATACCCCCACCGTCTGTTGTTGTTGGCCGCGCCCACTCCTCCGTCAGCTGGTCCGTCTTGGCTCCCCACCATATGGTAGCTGGCGAAACATCACACAGATCCGTTTTTCGTTTCTCGTCTCTTCCTTAGTACCGCGGGCGGGTCGGACACAGCGTGGAGCAGGTGACGCAGAGCCGGCGCAAGTTGACGGTGAGACCCCGGCAGAGCTGGCAGGCCTCGGCGAGCCAGGGGAAGGCCTTCGCGAAGGCGTTCTCGTCCTCTGCGCACAGAGAGGCAGTGATGACATTGACGCATGTTGTGTGTATCCTGTGCCCTCACCCACCTCGCTCTTGTCTGGCGTCGTCGTCTTCTCGTTGGAGCTCCAGGTCGGCAGGCCGTCCGATGGGCGTCGGCACGACTGAAAGGATTGAAACACAAACACGCACAGCGCAATTTCCTTTCTGGTGAGCCTCCGTCCGTGCAACTACCTACCTCTGCCGCTGTCTGCTCCCATTCCAAGCCCGCCTTCGATTTGTGCCGCTGCTGCCGCCTGTGGCTCGGCCGCTGCAGGAGCCGCCTCTCCATCACCTTCACCTGCAGAACAGACATCTGAGCGTACGCATCGTCCGCTCCTTTTTCGCACCGGCCAGCTTGAAGGTGATCACGTCGCCGTCCTTGAACACCTCCCTGAGTTGCTGGCCGCCCTGCACACCGGGGTGGCTGCCAGTGCAAGCACACACCGAGCAGATAAGGGGTATTCCCAGCGTTCCAGTGCTCGTAACGTACCTTGTGAAGGTGATCTCGGCGTTCTCCGGTCGAGGTTCTCTCGGAGCAGGTCGAGGATGGCGTCGACAGTGGTGGTGCCAGGCTCGGTGTATGGTGCGACATCACCCTCGGCACCGGCCCGCTTGAACTTGATGGTCATCGGCGCGTCGGCAGCCGGGAGTGGTGGGTGCGTGTTCCTGTTGGCCATCTCTGGAAGATCTGCGCTCCGTCTCGAGCTCGCCACAAAAAGCTCGCGGGAAAGGAGAAGGAGAAGCATGACGCACAGAGATCCCGACGGGTACTCCGTGTGGTTTCGGTGGTCCAACGTCTATCCGTGGCGTTCCTTTAACCTTGTGCTGCGGGAGAAGCCCAACACAGTCGGTGACCTCAGGAGGCGTCTGCTTCGCTGGTACTCGGTAAGGAAGGAGGAGGGAAGGGGGAGTCACCCAATACACAGCCCTTACAGACACCGTCTTCGTCCGCCGTGCGCGTGCAGCATCTCTACAAGAGCACGAGTGAGATTGAGTTCTTTGGACGCGCCGGTGAGCCGTGTAGAACTCAAGACCATCGAGGAGTTCCTCGGAGAAATCGGAACCACCAAGGAGCAGCCAATCGTCATGAGACAAAGAGGGTCCAAAGAGCGACGAGGTAGGCAGTATTCTGCAGGCCCAGCACTCCCTCCATCGCTTACCATGATTTGCGTTTTGTGTGGTTCAGGCCCGCTTGCTCCTCCTCCAGATGTCACAGGTGCGTGAAGGAGTGATCCAGATAGGAATCAAATAGACATCACTCTGTGTCGCTTTTCACCATGTGCAGTTTTCATCATGTGCAGTCCTCGGGACGACTACTGAGCAGAAGTGGAAGCGGCGGCAGGAGGCGAAAGAGCCGAGGGCGGCGGCGTTGTTTGTTCAAGACTGATGACTGACTTTCTCGTTGACTTTGCTTGCTAACCCGACCTCACTCCACCTGCTCACGTACTTGACGTGTGTCGTCGTGTGTATATAAGTGACTGCGTGAGCGTGTTTATCGCGCTGTGGTATGTTGACACGTAGACTAACATGAGCGTTTTCTGTGTTGTACGTGGATTGGTTATGAACTGCATATGGTGCACACTCACCCCTTCCTTAGACGAATCCAATCCATTCCTTAGTGTGGTACTGCGAGGATGCACCCAACCCACTCCACTGAGCAGCAAACAAGCAGAGAGGACACAGACGAGAGGGCATGGCTGCAGACACAGACGAGAGGACATGTAGGCAGACAGGGAGATGGATAACGGGTGTGACGTGTGTGTTGTGCGTGCGGTGTGTGCAGATGGGCGACTCGATCAGATATCTGGCTGCCAAGGTCAGTCAGTGGGTCGACAAATGGCTGACTGAGCATACCTGATGTGTCATTGCTCACTCCCTCCTCGGTTTGTATGTGTGTGGTTTGTGGTTGTGTGCAGGGGTCTGTCGGTGAGAGTCGCCTGCCGATGGTGGAGACAGCCATCGCTGCCGTTGTAAGCCGGAATTGCTCTTCCTTGTATATTGTCGACTCGACACACACAGATCCGTCTGTGGCCACATCATGCACACACCCACGCATGTGGCATCCATCCGACAGCCACAAAAAAAAGGGCAACCAGCATGCGAATGCACACACCCGCGCATGTGCATACGATGCCAGCTGTGTCATGGTCGTGTGCTGGCCTGCTTCAATGAGTGTGTGTTACCATACACACACACTCACACAGAGAGTCTGCATGGTTTGTGGTCCTGTTTCTCCCTCCGCCCGCCAGACGCACTGCGACATTCGATGGCTCCGCAAACGCCCCATGGCCGAGAAACACAGTCACAGGATCAGTGCCGAGCAGCAGATAGGGCGGCAGAAGGGCCGATACGACCATGGCAATAAGCACTCGACCGTAGAAGTGCAGTGACACGCTGGCATGATGAACCTTGGAAAGGCTCGCGAGTAGCGCGTCCGCAGCGGCAATGAGAGTGCTGGCCAGTCTAATCATGATGACCAGGATTTGTTCGTCCGCAGAAGCCGACGTCTGCGCAACCACTGTACGCTGTGTCGTTAAAACGGTCGGTCGAGAACTCGCGACGGAGACGGCCGTTTAATTTTTAGAGGTGAAGGAGCTTCCCCGTATTCTTTATCTGTGTTCTTGCGCTGCCCAGCCTGCCGTCCTTTTTGGTTTGCCACCACCGTCGACACCATCCTCCGCCAGCTCTTCGGACGGTGTATGGCGACCACGAGCGCCTGCTCAACGTGTACCCGCGCCCCTAGACCCGGGCTACTACTTCACGGGCGACGGGTGTGTGCAAGACAAGGACGGCTACTACTGGATTACAGTACGGGGCGTGTCGACGATGCACCCACCTCCTGCTGGAGAACGCCGAGATCATCTCCACAAGGTCAGTCACGAGCACTGGAACGCTGCGAATACCCCTCATCTGCTCGGTGTGTGCTTGCACTGGCAGCCACCCCGGTGTGCAGGGCGGCCAACAACTCAACGAGGCGTTCAAGAAAGGCGATGTGATCACCTTCAAGCTGGGCGGTGCGAAAAACGAGCGGATGGTGCGTACGGGCAGATGTCTGTTTTGCAGGTGAAGGTGATGAAGCGGCGGCAGGAGGACAGCCTGCCGACCTGGAGCTCCAACGAGAAGACGAGGACGCCAGAGGCGAGCGAGGTGGGTGAGGGCACAGGATACACACAACATGCGTCAATGTCATCACTGCCTCTCGATCTGTGCGCAGAGGACGAGAACGCCTTCGAGCAGCACTGCCCCTGGCTCGACAAGGCCTGCAAGCTGTGCCGCGGTTTCACCGTCACGTTGCGCCGGCTCTGCGTCACCTGCTCCACGCTGTGTCCGACCGGCCAGCGGTACTAAGGAAGAGACGAGAAACGAAAAACGGATCTGTGTGCTGTTTCGCCAGCTACCAAATGGCGGGGAGCCAAGACGGGCCAGCTGACGGAGGAGTGAGCGCGGCCAACAACAACAGACGGTGGGGGTATGGGGGACCACTGATGGGCATGGGCGGCCTGTCGGTCCTTGCGGGCGTCCTGTATTATTATCTCACATCAGGGGTGAGGAGAACGAGACAGGCAAGGGGCACTTGGAAATGTGGTGTGGGTGTGGGTGTGGGTGTGTGCTTCGATAGGGTGGGGGCGGCAGACACGAGGACGCCATCACATCTGCCAGCCGCACCAATTCCACCGAGGTCACACAGACACACACATACACGGACATGTATGTCCATGCATCCATCCATCTCTCGCCCTGTTTGTGTGTGCAGGGCGCGTAGATGTGAATGCCTTCTGCCCCCGTTCATATCATGACACCATTCACACACCCCTGCCCAAGATGACCACCTACGCGCAGTGGTACGACACCATCAAGCACGACTTCCGTCATGTTTCCGTGCATGCCGTCGTGTTGTGTTCGTTTCTTCGTTCAGGCCGCCGATGACACGCAGCGGAGCCACACGATGAGCCTCCGCGCCAGCACCATCGCCAAGACGGAGGCAGGCACCACCAAGGCCTCCCAGTATGAAGTCATTCATCCCAAGAAGGCCACAGAGGAAAATCGCCGTCTACTTTTTATATCCTGTGGCTCGTATTTCATTCGACCCGCGCCCTCGGCACCTGCTTTTCAGTGCGTGCGTATGGTAACACACTCATTTAAGCAGGCCAGCACACGACCATGCACACAGCTGGCATCGTATACACATACGCGGGTGTGTGCATTCGCATGCTGGTTGCAGCCCTCCACGTGTGTGTGCTCTCCATGTGTATGCTCACACGATCGATCAGCGCTTTGCTGTGGCTGCGGTAGATGGAGGAGAGGGGTACGTGAGAGAATAACAAGACGGACGCACCCTCTTTCCCACACACATGGTCTTGATTCTCTCTGCAGAGGCCAGGCGCGCGGAGGACATGGAGAGAGAGAGGAGAGAGAAGGAGGAGGAGGACCAGCGGCAGAGGGAGGAGCAGGAGCAGCGGCAGAGGGAGGAGCAGGAGCAGCAGCAGCAGCGCATGGCCAGAGAGGGTATATGCTTACAAGCAAACGCGGCACGACACAGACTCATCTCTCTGTGTGTGTTTATAACACTGCAGCCGGCGACGAGAAGAAGAAGGAGGCAGAAGCACGACGGGTATACACATTGGCACACCCCGCCCGCCTACGCAACCATAACACACGTGCCGATCCTGTTGTGTGATGCAGGCATCTTGGGAGAGCACCGCCATCACGGTGTGTGTACATCTGTGGAAGCATCACCACAACACAGGACTGCTTTGTGGCTGTTACTACTTGGACGTATTCAGGACAAATTCGGCCGCAATTCCTTCGTTCACCATGGATCCACCTTCTCGCTACTGGAGAGCCAGGTACGCTACGCCCAACGCCATTCTGCCTGGCCGCATTTGTGCAGTTTTCGGTGCTACACCAATCATTCTGCCTGTCTACATTTGTGCAGTTTTCGACGCTCAACACAAGCCAGCCCCCCATGGTGATGCGAATGCAGGTACACACGCTGATGCACGTGTATATGCGCCGGACATTGCCATGCCTCTGTCTCGAGTGTTCTTCCTTCCTTCCTTCCTTTCTTTCTCTCTTTCTCTAGGTGACGAAGGACCGCAAGGTTACCCCGGTGGTGAGCAGACACCGCCTGAATACAAACACAGACCAGACCAACCAGACCACCCACACACGCGACACCTGGTATGTGTGGCGACCTTCGTCAGGTGGCCTACACAGTGACGAGCGGCCCCCACCCCACGGCCAAGGCGCCGTATTCAAGTTGCTGCTTGTTCCCGTGCATGCGTGAGTCTCTCACGTCGATCGACAAGGAGCCGTCCCGCCGTCTCTCACGTATCTTTCGGGCTGACCCAACGTCACGATGACCAGGTACTCCCTCTCCTTCATCACCCACACACACAGACGCTATTTTGTTATGTGTGTGATGTGCGACAGTCGAGTTGCCGAGCAGCAGAGACGTGAGGCAGGTATGTACGAGTGAGTGCATTCCATGTCTCCCTCCGTCTGTGCATTCCGTCTTCCCGTCTGTGTTGCCATTCTGTGTTGCCATTCAGAGGAAAATCGCCGTCTACATTTTATATCCTGTGGCCTCTATTTCATTCGATTCGCTGTGAAAGAGCGCACAGATGGATAAACTGGCGCATCATGCTGACTTGGTGTGCGTTTTAACTGGGAGGGTGAGGGAGGGGCCGTGATAGCTGGAAGTGCCGTGTGTGATAGTGGTCTGTCTGTCTGTCTGGTGTGATGTACTGTGTGTGACACTCACCATCTTCTTCGATCTGCTGGGTGCGCAGTGGGCGCTGTTGCCTGGCCTGGCTGTCAATGTGTGTGAGAGTGGGAAAAAGAGAGAGAGACTTTTCTGTTTTCGCCAGTTGTTATCGTGTCTTGTCCATTGCACGAAAACACATGAAGAAGGGCAGCCAGCACAGACCCAGATAGTAGCGACGGCAGCCCCGTGTGTGGTGTGGACTGAGAGTGCACCCAGCGTTTCGTCCAGCCAAAAATGGGGCAGCTTGGTCGTACCTGTGTGTCAGTGCATTCCACTCGGTGGTCGGCCAGCGGCGAAGACAGGCACAGTAGAGAACACACCCACATCCCACCCACAGTCTCTATCCATCTGTCGGTCTGTCTGTCTGTCGTCATTCATGCATGCCGTCCGTATGTGTATGTCCGTCGCGAGAGAGGAGGGGGGGCGACGGGAGGGGCGAGAGGGGTCTTTTTGATGGCCTAGAGAGGCGGGAGAGCGGGTGGATGGGCGGGTGGATGGCATCTTTCTGTCATCACAGTAAGAGAGAGCAATGAAGATGGCAATGCTTTCTGGCGAATACAGGGAGGGGCGCTGTGCGTGCGTATGCGTACGCATATAAAGGGCAATAGCCAGACTGTCACTTAAGTGAGCCTGTTTTAAGGGAGATAGAGAGACAGACAGACAGACAGACAAGTGGATTCTCTTCAGTCATTTTGATGGTTGAGAGGATGGGTGTTCGCTCATTTTCTTAGCCTCAGGCACTGCCGAGCACTCATATTTAGCCATGTGTGTTCGTGACAGGGTGGCGTCTAGTTCCATGACACCGAGTTGGTTGGATGTGTGCTGGATGTCTGGATTGGCACTTGTCTGTCCGCTAAATAACGGTGTGATGGGTTGGTTTTGATGGTGGCTTGGAGAACAGAGAGAACACGGGATCTCTTTCGGTCCTACTCATGACATACGCACACACTGTCTACCTTCCCCTCCCCCCCTCTCTCTCTTATGACGTCTTGAGTGTACCTGCTGTGTGCTTGTGAGGATGCATATAAATGCTGCTTCATCCTCGCTCCCCCACTGCCTCCTGCTAGGCTGGTAGCTTGGTGTTGGTTTGGATGATAGCTTGGAGAACAGAGAGAGACACACACGTACGCCTGTCGGGCCGGGTGGGTTCCGCACGAACTGCTTTAAGTGCACGTCTCGGCGGACGCGAAGTATGGCGTTCCATTTTTTTCCTTCCATCTGCCTGCTGCCTGCCTCCCTGCCTGCGTCTTTCCTACATGTCTCATCTCTACTATTGCGTGACATCTCTACTAAGTAGGATCATCATGCACACAAGAGAGGCTGCATGTGTGTGACGGGAGGGGAGGCGCATGCTGACTTGACTTGGTGTGCGTTTCAAGAGGGACGGAGTGGGGAGGGCGTGGGATAAGACAACTGCTGGCTGCTGGTTGGTCTGCATGGCGAGTGGATTGTGACCGACGCTTGGCTTGGCTGTGCATCCATGTCGACGACTGCCCTGTGTGTCGTGTGAAAGACAAACACTCGTTTTCCCCCTGTCCGTCTACGCCTGCCTGTAGTCACATCATGCACACACCAATTGATATCAAGCAAGGCAGCACACGACCAGGCAGGCTCACAGCTAGCTTGGTATTGATATGTATGTTGGCACTGTGTATGCACAGCTCTCCGCTGCACCGCTCGATGGGTTGTGCTGTGTCTTTAGTCGCTCATTTGGTGTCGCGCGGATGTGGGACGGATGGGATGGATGCGATGGGATGGATGCACCAGCTCGCGCTATTAGGTGTGGGTCGATTTTAATGGCGTTTCGATGCAGTCAAATAACATACATCGCTGTCTGCATTTTATATTGTGTGGTGCCCTGGACCAACCATGCATGCATGTCTTCTTCAATTTGGCTTGAAACTCCAAGGCACTCACACGCATGACTATGGCCACATCATGCACACACCCACACTTATGTGCCATCCATGGACTCATCCGAGGACACTCGTACGTTGGTCAGCTGTCAAGAAACCGCTGCCCTTTTCGTCGTCAGCCGCGTACGCGTTGTCCATCACACGGACGAGTCAACGAGAGACTGACGGAAAAGAGACAGATGCGCAGACCCCTAAGAGCAAACAGTGCAGACACCGACGCATCCATCCATCCATGTGTGTGTGCGGATACAGACAGACAGCAAGTTGGGGGGATGGGTAAGCAGCCGTTTGCAGTCGTATGTGTCTGTCTATTTTCCTCTGTGAGCATCTCTGTCGCCACACGGCAACCCCAAAGCACCAACACCACACGTGGGCTGATACTCTATGGTTGCCGCGATGCTCAAGATGCCCACATAGGGGGATGGACGCACGCAGGAAAACAAGGAAAACACGAACAACATTCAGTCAGGCGAACGGACAAAGGGACAGATCGGTGTGCGTGTGTGTGTGTACACGCACGACGACAGTCTGTCTGTCTGGGGGTGGGGTCGAGCATCTCAATGTGTAGGGTGACCGCAGAGGATCTCGCAGTCAGCACACCGACACACGATACACACCAAAAGAAAAGCAAATAGACCTCTCTCTCTCTCTTCCCACATTGACATAGCAAATCGGCCTTCCCACACAAACATAACAATGCGCCAGACAGCCACCCGCTCGTCGGCAGAGAGGGGCGCACAAAATGCCGACTCACATACAAACGTCCCTCTGTGTGTCTTTATGTGGCCTCCCACATGAGTGTCCCACACTGACAGACACACCGGCACCCCAATTGCATACTCACATCGGGGTGTCCATCAGCAAACCTGGGGGGGCGGTGGGCCATATGGGCAAAATGCGCGTCGGTCTGTCTGTGCGGGTGAACAATCATGTCACACGGACGGACGGCAAAAGGACACATCCGCTGCCTCAATTGGTGGGATGGGTGAGCAGTCGCGTGTGTGTTCATTTCCCTCTGCGCGCATCTCTGTCATCGCCCGGCAACCCCAAAGCACCAACACCATGTGGCTGATGCTCTAGCGTTGCGAGGTGACTGATGAGATGCACACACAAGGGGAGAGAGAGGCAGACACACACAGAAGAACCACACACAATGCCATACAGATAGTATACAGATCACAGCTGGCGAAACAGAAAAATCTCTCGCTCTCCCACCCTCACACAGATTGACATCCAGGCCAGGCAACAGCGCTACTCGCACCAATACAGCACAAGATGATAAGGGTCATACACAGTACAACACACCAGAGAGACAGAGAGGGAGGGAGTCCATCCAAGTCACATACCCCACCAGCAGCAGTCGGCAGTCTTTCTTTCCTTTGTGTGCATGGGACGTGCGTCTGTCTGTCTGTCTATCTGTCTGTCAGTCAGCCGCTCGACGGCGACCGCAGACATAGAGAGCGATGATCAACACTCACTTTGTGAGGTCACCATCGAGTATCAGACAGTCAGCACACCGAAGCAAACAGAGGTGTGCCATCTCATCTCTCTCTCTCTCTCTCTCTCTCCTTCCCACCTATACGTGTCACACACACACACACACGCATCGGCCCCCCACCCAGACCAACCACTCGATCGACACGATCGTACGAGAAGCGGCGTCAGGTATCATTTATCCACACGACCACTCATCCATCCATCCATGCATCCAATCACCGCCGCGTCAGCATAGCATAGCATAGCGTGGCGACACCCACACACCGGGTTGGGTGGATGGGTGGGTCGGTGCGTGGGTGGGGTCGATGTGGGTGTTCAGAACCAGGGTCCCCTGATTCGCGGCGGTGCCTTGAGCGGCTGGATTGCGAACACCGTTGATCAAAACGACTTTTTTCGCAGTATACAATACACACACACACACACACGCACACACACACCAAGCATACAACATGTACACGTTCGTTCGGGAGTGCTCGTATTTCCCTACCGATGTGGTGTGTGTGCCGGTCGTGTCAGGGCGCATGCACGCGGGCAACCACTGGCAGCACGCTTGTCGGCTGGGGGCCCGGGCTGCGATGCGCTGGGGGCCGCTCGTCGGTGCGTACACCACCTGACGGAGATCGCCACACTCATATACCAAGTGTCGGGTGTGTGGGTGGTCTGATTGGTCTGGTCTGGGTTTGTGTTCAGGCGATTTGTGCTCACCGGTACGATGGCAATCTTGCCGTCCTTTGTCATCACCTGAACACACACACACACGCACTCACAAACGCATGTACACACTCGAGACAGAGGCGTGGTGATGTCCGGTGCATGCGCACCTGCGTCACCATGGGGGGCGTGCTCGTGTTGAGGGGCATCGAGAACTGCACAAATGCGGCCAGGCAGAATGATTGGTGTGGTCGGAGGTCGGGGACGTAGCATACCTGGCTGCCCAACAGCGAAAATGTTGAACCCCGCATCGACACTCGTCCGTTCTTGTCCTGAATGCGTCCAAGTAGTAACAGCCACCAAGCAGTCCTGCACTTTGGTGATGCTTCCACAGATGTACACAAACCGTGCTGGCCGTGCTGGCCCATGATGCCTGCATCACACAACAGGATCGGCACGTGTTATGTGGGTGGGTTGGCTGGTGGGGTGTGCTGATGCGCATACCCTCCGCGCCTCGGCCTCCTTCTTGCTCTTGTCGCCCGCTGCAGAATCATGCACAAAAGGCAGGGAGAGATGAGTCTGTGTCGTGCGGCGTTTGATTGGCACATACCGTCCTTGGCTGACTGCTGCTGCTGCTGCTGCTCCTGCTCCTGCTTCTCCTCGGGCCCAGGCACCTTGATGTCCTCCTGCTGCATGGCCTCTGCAGAGAGAATCAATCCCAAGTGTGTGGGGAAAGACGGTGCGTCTTGGCATTCTCTCACGTACCCCTCTCTCTAGCCGATTGTTGTTGCTCCTCCCTCTGCCGCTGCTCCTGCTCCTCCCTTCTCTTGCGCATGGCCTCTGCAGAGAGAATCAAGACCATGTGTGTGGGGAAGAGGGTGCGTCTTGTTATTATCTCACGTACCCCTCTCCCTCAACTGGCGCAGCCACACCCTTTCCCGCCGTCTCTCCGCTGCACACCATCCATCCATCCATCACAAAGAGAACAACCTGCCTGTGTATGCGGCCACCCTGACCCACCTGTCTTGCGCTCCTCGGCGCGACGCTGCCGGATGCGGTCGAGCATCGCGGTCAGGTCTGCAAGTACGACGCGTGCGAATGCATTTCGTCACATTCGTGTGTGGAGTGTGTCCGTGTGGGTCGTACGACTCACCGGCCTTCCTCTCCTCCTCCTCCCTCGCCTCCCTCGCCGCCTTCTCCTTCTTCTCCTTCTCGGCCGCTGCACGCACGCACACACACACGGACACCCTTGTCCGTGTGCTCCTTCCCTCCATCCCTCCCTTTCTCTCACCCGCCCGATGGGGGATCGTAAGGGCCCAGTTGGGCGTCATGCCCAACAGTGCCAGGCCGCTGAACATTGTCTGTACCGACACACACCAGCGGCCATTCCTCTTCCCCCACTATATTGCGATCAATTACTCAAGAAAATGCCTCCAGCCCTCCAGTGTGGCCACATGCTTGTCATACTTACCGGTGTGTGTGCGTGTGTGTGTGTGTGTGTGTGTGTGTGCCACTGGGTGGTCTTGTGTGGGTGGGTGCTCCTCCTGCTCACACAGAGAGATCGACCCCTCAAGTGAATTGGCGCCCCGTTTTTCGGCTCTTTTCTGTCTGTCCTGTGGTGCCTCGCTGCCGTGGCCTGCCCTGACGTGCAGACGGGTATGAATGACCGTGGCACACGCTGATCTGCCAGATGGTGATCAAAATGGCGAGGAGGTGCGAGAGTGACGTGCCCACCGACTCACCTAGTGCTTCTCTGCTCTGCTCTGTACGCCTCGTCCTTGGTGGTAGCTCTCCCGAGGTGAGAGCTCTCTCTCCCATTGCGAGAGAGCGGTTTCACGGAATGTCCTAAGTGAGCTGAGCTTAGAGAGCTTACCCCCCGACATCCGTTGTTCTCTTGATATGTCTCTATAGTGCTCGGCTGCATTTCGGTGATGAATGAATCATTCATTGACCTGACGAGGTGTGCGTGTGTGCGGGGAGCACGGGGAATCCTTTTCGTAGTGGGCACAAATGTGACTTCCACTGGCATACAGAACACATTGAGAGCACAGAGGCTGGCAAAACGGACTCAAGAGAAATCTCGACACGAACTTGAGTCTCCCCTGACGTCACCCTGCGGAAATCCCCGCACACTGGTACAAATGCGCTCGCCCGGGGAGGTGTGGCACATCACACGCAAAAAACACCAAGCAAGTCAGCCGGCCGCCACACTCGAGCTGCCCCTGTCTGTCTGTCTGTCTGTCTGTCTGTCTGTGTCTCTGTCTGTGTCCCTCTCTGCACAGTGACGAGCGGGCGCAGTTCCGTACGGGCCCCATCCCACAGGTAGACATACTGCTTCCTGCGGCACCTGATCGACACGACAGACGACAGATGGAGTGAGGGGGGTGGGCGCAGTCGAGTTGATGATACCTCTATCGGGGCCGCCTGCTGCTGGTCGTGCTGCTGGCGTTGCTCGTACTGCTGCTCGACTGCCTCTCCTTCTCAGCCGCCTCCTCAGACAGACAGACAGTCAGACAGACAGATGAAGACCACACGAGCAAACAGTATCCTCACGGTGTTTGTGCACGTGCATTCGGGGCTGTGTGTGGGTTTGTCGTCATATACATTTGTGTCTCAGAGTTCATCCCTTCAGGTGTGTCCGTCCATTCGAATGCAACACATATCCATCACACTCACGCATACGTCCGCATACGTCGTCAACTCCACCCAAAAGTAACACATACCTACCGAAAGCCAGTCCGTTCGATCAGTCGAAATTCTCAAGAAATGTACGCCAAAAGTCATCATCACATGGTAGGGCCGGCTGGCTGGCCGATTCGGCCTGCTGGCTGTGTCTGTCTTCTGTAACCTACTCACACGCGCCTAAACGCATAGAGCACAGCACACACGAACGAACGAAGTCTCTCTGAGATCCCTCCCATTCCACCATGCCATGTACGTATGTATGTATGTATGCGAGCATGCACGCGTCCTGCCGGCGCTTCCTTTAGGCACCCACATTCAGACCCATGCACGGCACGCACACACGACTGTCCTGACTGCACGCACGCACCCACCCACCCACACGCACCACATCAACAACGAGACAAATAATACACACACATGCCTAGATGTTGATGCTGAAGACAGCTAGCAACGCAACGAAGAACGCCCTGATCTGCAAAAGCAGCTCCCTCTGGTCGTCCGTCAATTGCTCATCGAGGTCGTTGAGCAGGTCGTCGACGCCCTGGAGAATGTCGTTGATGAAGTCGATGATCGGGTCATCCTCCTCCTCGCTCGCTGCAGTCATGCGCGGCTTGCGCGGCTCGTCCTGTGGCCCTCTGCGCGTCTGGATTGCCTTGATGGTCTTGAACGAGTTGTCGAGGGCGAGAGTGGCCTTCTCACGCACATTCTTAATGCTCCCTGAATCGCAGAAGCAGTTGCGGCACGCACAGGCGTGTTGCGGCTACAGCTACGTGTGTGGGGATGCGTACGTACCCAGGCTGACGTTCTCCTCCAGTCCTTCGAGGAACTTCTTGACCTGCCCTGTGCACACACGAGACCGAGAGATGCGGCAACGGCTCACTGTACGTGTGTCTGTGTGTTGTTCTCCACACCCCATCCACGTACCCATGTTTTTTGTCACATCGAGTCCTCCCAGGAAGTCTTTGACATTCTCGAATCCGCCCAGGAAGTCCTTGAACTGCTGCACGGGGTCAACAGCCAGGGGCTCAGCTGTCACGCCACAGACGAGCACAGAGACGAACGCGAAGAGGACGGTGGCGCGCTGCATGGTGACTGCTTTTGGCTTGGCGTGCCTCTCGGGAGGAGTGGTGGCTCGCGGAAAGGCTGATAAGGACGAGTTACGGAAGTTTTAGGAATCCAACGGCGGCATGTACACTGTATGTAAACTCGATCCAGTCAAATGACGTATGCTGTTGACCTGCTTCACAGCCGCTCACACGTTGATTAAGTCAAAGGCTGCACGGCTGAGTAACACCGGTTGGCTTCATTCGTCCGTCGAGTGGTGTGCTGGGCTGGATTAGTTCCGTTGTCTCCCGTGCTGATGTGTCTTTTATAGTGCTCGGCTGCACATGCCTGCCACCTATCCATCTGCATATGTGATGATCCATCTATCCAGTAGGTTGTGTGTATACCTGAGGAGAGATATGCGTGTGCGCGGGACTCCTTTCCGCTGAGTCAGTGAGCATTGATGTGACTTATGTGACTTCCATTAGCGTACAGAACACATTGAGGGCAGGAAGGCAGGCAAAAGGGACTCAAAGAAATCCCGACACGAACTTGAGGCTTCCTTGCTCACTAGTACAAATGCGCTGGCCCGGGCAAGTGTGACACATCATACGAAAAGAACACCACGCTAGTCAGCCACTGTCTGTCTATCTGTCTACCTGGGGCCAGCTGGCACATACCAATCCTATTCCCCTGCAAGACGGCCTGCACGGACGAGTGACACACACAGACAGACAGGGGAACAGTGGGGTGCGCACATAAAGACTAACTGAAGAGTACTGAGTCTCACTCACCGGTCAATGCGTTGTGAGGACATAGCCGTACAAGATTAACAAGATTAAGACGGGAATCCACGAGAGCAACGTGAGCACCACGGTATCGTCGGCCAACTGCAGCAGGCCCACGATCCATAAGGACAACCGCACGTTAGAAACTCCAAAGCAAACTGCCACAGCGATACCGGCGAGATAGATCATACTCGACAGAACAGCCGGGGGCACCTCCGTATACCACCCCCTCTGCTGCAGCAGCTCGTCCACTTGCGGCCGCTGTCACACACTCACGGCCACCACCGCCGCGGCAGTGAGATAAGCCGGAAGGAATCGGCTGACAATCAGCTCCCAAAACACAATGTGTGCCAGGGACCACATGGCAATCAGCACATAGTAGGCCCCCTCCCTCAAGTAGAACAAAGCAGCGGAGAAGAGGCACACAAACAACGACCCAACGCCCTCACGACAACCACCACCAGCAGTAGCAGCCGTATGTCGGTGCCGCAACCGCAATAGCGCCTCTCGTGTGGCCTGGTGCACCTTCTCACCCCTCACCAGACAGTAAGGCAGGAAGGCCAAAGACACAAAGATCAAAGGACAATAGCAGAAAAAGGCGGTAGCCAACGATCGCTTCTCGGCGCACCCCGCCACATGCGCAGCCCACACGCCGCCAAGTCCGCCTGCGGCAAATGTCCAGATGAGCATTCGCGCCGCCCCAGCAGCCGCCACAATGAATGCGATAGCCATCCGCAGACCACACCGAAGCGATGAGCTGCCCGCATGTTGTCGCCCCGCCACCCAGTCCAAGGCGGAAAGAGTCAGGCCGACCACGGTGGCCATGGGGATCACGTGGCAGAGCCGGAGCGCTCGGGTCAGTATGTTGCTTCTGTCGCAGCTGTGTAGAATTGTCATCAGCAGCGGCAGACAGGCGAGCAGACTGTACGCGAGAGAGAAGAGGGCGTCTGGGATGAGGCCGACCGGCAGATTAGACGAGCCATGTGGCCCAATGTCATAAGGCATAATGTCATAACGCCTGGACACACACAACACAGGCAACCCACAGATCACCAATCAATCACTGAACCGGCCGGTTGTCACTCTCACTGTATGTAGCTTACTCCAGACAGACGCCACAAGTCGACTTCACCCCACCATCACGCTTCCGCCATGAATCAAAGCAAGTGACGTGAACCCATCTGACAGAGCCCTTGCAGCCGCACGGCGCAATGAGTATGCCGCTCTCAACAGTCTCATCAGGTGAAAGGCAGAAGCGGCACACGGCACCCGGCTCGGGCTGGGCCAGCAACGACAGCATCGCATTTCTCACCTCCCGAGCAACTTTGAAGCCGACTGACACGAACTGTTTTGGCTGGATCTTGTCGGCTGGGATTGTGAGAATGCGGAAAGAAGCATTTCTCGCTTCTCGTGATTCAAGCTCGCAAATGTGGATCGCAGCGGTGCGGAAGAGCCCTTTCCAGCCCATGAGGGCCCTTCTGTAGCGCTGCAGGACCACGCGGCCCGACGTCATAATCCCAAACACACGCACACAGACAGACAGACATGCACACAAACACACGCACCTGTCTATCTTTTCCAGCTTCCGGACCCCCCGATTAGAGATCTCACCTGCCATCAGTACCAGCCAACTGGTATCACCACCACAGCCAAGGGAGCCCAACCCGAGTCATATGTTCCCGGCCGAAAATGCTAGGACGCTCCTCTCCCACCACACTTTCGATTCCCATACGGCCGAACAGCCAGGCAGCCACACGATGCACGCAACACGAGGTCAAATACGAATCGATTGTACGATAATCCTATCCGCCCGCACGCAGATGGTCGTCGGACAATCGCACGACGGCGGCTCGCAGGCTGCACACATCACATACACACACACACACACACACACACAGAGGGCAAGACAAGGCAGGGGCAGTACCAGACGCACTCGCTGCAGCAGATCCCACCTTTCAAGGGGCCCGGAAATGCTGCAGCCGATGATTGTTGCAATGGGGAGCCCCACCACTAGGAAGCCAAGCAGATCATACTCCCCCAGTGCCTCAAACATCCACCAGGACCGGCGCATGGCAAACGACGCCATACGAAGGATGACGCTTAAGACCACGCCAACGATACAGAAAGCCAAAGAAGATGAATACAGTCCACCCTCCTCCATCAGCTGGTCAATCGCCCGCCGCTTCCACACAGAGATGGCGCCCAGCAGCGCGACAATCAAGTAGAGTGGGATGAATGGCAGGCTGTTTCGGCTCCACAACCTGGCGCAAATCACCAGAGGGGTCAGCGACCACACCGCGATCATGAGATAGTAGGACCCCTCTCGCATGTAAAGCGACACCATGCCCATAAAGAGTCCATCAGAATCAATAGCATGTCGTTGCCGAAACCGCAACAGCGCCTCTCGTGTGGCCTGGTGCACCTTGTCCCCTTTCAAAAGACTATAAGGCAGCAAGGCGAGCGACACCATGAGTAACACAAAACAATCTCCCAGCGCTCTGCGGAAGGAACGCGCCCCATTGTCGCATGACCGGAATCCCCCCGCTTCAAATGTCCAGATGTCACTGCCCATCATACGCAGCGCCCCAGCAGCCGTCACAATCAGCCCGATAGCCATCCGCAGACCACATCTCAGCGAAGAGCCGTCCGCATGTTGTCGCCCCGCCAGCCAATCAAAGGCGGAAACAGTCAGACCGACCACGATGACCAGGGGGATCATGCGGTAGAGCCGGAGCGCCCGGGTCAGTATGTTGCTTCTGTCGCAGCTGTGCATGATTGCCAGCAGCGGCGGCAGACAGGCCAGCAGACTGTACGCGAGAGCGAAGAGGGCGTCTGGGATGAGGCCGACCGGCAGACAGAACGGACCACGCGGCCCGGCGTCATAATCCCTGAACCGACAGACACAAGGCAATGCACATCAGATATCCAGCCCTTCTCCTTCTGTAGCTTAGTACTTCAGACAGACGTCACACGTCGGCTTCAACCTGGCTGCACACACAACAAGACCAGCCATGCGAGTTGAAATGTCCACTTGCAGGTCCATCTTTAGACGCCCACCTGTTCCACCAGCGGGCTTTCTCCAGTTTCCCAGGCAGCTCGTATGCACCCATCTGAGAGTGCCCTTGCAGCCGCACGGAGCAATGAGTATGCCGCTCTCAACAGTGGCATCACATGAGTGGCAGACGCGGCACACGGCGCCCGGCTCGGTCTGAAGCAGCCAATTCATCGCGTCGCTTGTCTGGGCCTGAAAGAGAGGCGAATCAAGCCTCAACTCAGTCACTATCTCCTGCTGATCTGTGCGCATTCATCTCATCTCCCGAGCAACTTTGAAGCCGACTGACACGAACTGTTTTGGCTGGATCTTGTCAGCTGCTGCGACTGGGATTGCTTGTCTGAATCATCATGCTGGAAAGAAGCGAATGCATCTCCCTTCGTGATTCAAGCTCGCAAATGTGGATCGCAGCGGTGCGGAAGAGCCCTTTCCAGCCCATGAGGGCCCTTCTGTAGCGCTGCAGGACTGCAGCAGATGAGAAAGTAGAGAGTTCGATTGAGAAATAGCGGTGGAGAGCGCCTCTTGGTGAGCGTTGCCCATGATGGGTGAGGCGTCGCTGGTGAAGATAGTCGTCGGGTCGGGCGATGTCAAGAAGACCTTTGATCAGAAAAAGGTGAGGAGGGAGGAAAGGGGGATGGACGGCACAGGGAGGGGCGCAGTGCATCTGTCAGTGATGTGCGTGCCTTTGGTTGGTGTACGTGTGCAGGATCTTCTGGTCAAGTATTCGCCTTACTTCGCTGCCGCGCTGGACGGCCATGGATTTGCCGAGAGCTCCACACAGTCCGTCGAGGTGCCCGCCATCCAGCCCGAGACCTTCAGACACATGGGCTGGCTGCTCGAATCGGGAGAAGTGGGGAATCCAGAGGTGAGAAGCAAGCAGCAGGCGCCAGCTGCTGTCGTCTATTCTCGCTGATGCACACGTGCGTCGTTTGCTTTTTCCATTCATTCACGTCAGGTGCTCAAGGCGCAAGTAGCTGGCATGATGGCATGTAGATGCAGATCAGAGTGATCGATTACACGTGCAGCACCCCCCTCTCCCCTCCCGTCTGTGTGTGGTGGTGTCAGCGCCTACCGTATGCCCTCCACGTGCCCAGCGACGACACACAGTCAGGGGGTGCCGCGCAGGGAGCGGCCGCGGCATCGGAGGGCCCTCCGCAGAAGAAGCACAAGGCGGCCGGCACCACGGTCTACAGCGGCCTGCTGTCCCTGCTGGCCATGTGTCAGTACTTCCAGATGGAGGCGCACGTGGCGGCCATCCTGGAGGCGCTCTACTCGTGCGCCGGGGAGTGGACCATTGCCATGGCCGTGTTCATCCTGGACCTCAATCCGGGAGTGCTGGAGAGCCAGGACTTCCCCAAGCAGAAGATGGTGGAGTCGGTGGCGAGGGAGGTGGTGGAGGGCAATTGGGAGACCTGGTCGCCGCTGCTCAAGAGGCTGCCCATCGACATCACCATGCGGGTGGTCCAGTGTATCGCCCAGGCAGTCAAGGGAACCACAGATTATAACCCCTACCACAGACGTTGGGCTGTGAACCCATACCACAGATGTGGGGCAACATGGCTCAACAATGAGTAGATGTTCAGTAGCTGTCTGTCGATATGGGGAAGGAGGGGTATGGGGGTATGGGGCACGGGTGCCTCCATGTGGGCGGCGGTCTGCTATGTGCACCGACGGTTGCCGGCTCTCTGGGTGTGTATGAGACTGTGGTGACTTCCTCATTCGCTGACTGTTCCACATCGTTGTGCAGACAGAAAGAAACACGGGCATTCAGCCAAACCGAACGGCACACACAAACATTTCGACCAGTCAGGCAGGCAGGCCGACGCAGACAAATCTGTCCTTTGGACGACTTTCTCGCCACAAATGTACGCCGAGAAAAACAGCCAGCAAACGCGTCCCCACACCATGCATGCACACATCCGCACACGTGTCACAAGGAGGGGGGGAAGCAGGGAGGGAGGGAGGGGCCGGCAGACTGACAGACAGAGAGAAACCGGCGAGTGAGACACTCGCCACGCCCGTGGCTATCGACCCATCCAGCCAGAAAGCATACGACCGCAGCAACCCAACCACAAACGGACTCGTGTCCATCCATGGGAAAAAGATGTCCCGTCGTTTGTCTGTGTGCGGTTCATCTCACAAGCCAAATCTAATCTATACTATCCACTTATCCACCCAATCGACCAGCCAATGCGCCCCATAGAGCCAGTCGACATAACCAATGCAACGCTGCATACGCACACGATGACCGTTTGCGTGAACGCCCGTGTTTCTGCCAATCGAGATAGCAGCGCAGCGCAGTGCAGCGCAGCGCAGCGCAGCCCAGCCAGCCCGCCACACATGCAGCAGATACCTTTTCTTCTCCCCATTCCATCCCTATCAGCCAAATCTGAACTCACTCAATTCCGCCCCTCCAAAGGCACGCAAATGAATGGATGCACTTGCCTTGCGCACCGGAGAGCTTTTGCCGCGCACCGGACGTCACGTGCAGCAGGCCTTCTTTCGCGTCGCTGGCTGGGCGAGGGTTGGCAGCAGGGGTACACGAGGGGCTGCAGGGGTGGGAGGGGGTGGCCGCACCGACCATTTCTGGTTCCGTGCCTACGTATGCCCATATCTCTGTCACTGACCTCTGTTTGTTGTGGCCATGGGCACCTCACCTCTGAGGGTACATGTACTGCATTCAAGACATGAGCAGGTGGTCCAGTGCTTTTCCTTTACGCGTCTGCGCGTGGCGTGTTGGTGGTGGTTGTGGTGGTGAGCTGGGGACGCCCTGTGATACTCGCTGAAAGAAGAGACCCAGGGATATAAAAAGTAGGCAGCAATTTGGCGGCCTCGGCTGCCTGCACAAATGCAGACAGGCAGAATCATCGATGCGCTAAGACAAGAGATAACGGTGCTCGCCCGTCGTCGGGACAGTCGTCTCGATTGAGAACTTCGGGATGGTCCCCAGAAAGCCACGGACAGTCGAGATGGCGACCTCCTTGTCCTGCGGCACCTCCAACAGCTCGGCTTGTGCAACACAGACAGCTCAACACACACACCACACACAGCAGAGATCTGTCACCTGTCTGTCGCTCCCTCCCTCCCTGAATCCCTCCCTCTCTCCCACCTCCTCGTCCTTATCTGCCTTCCGGGCCTCAGCCGTCCCACCGTCGCCACGGTCCCTGCACACACCAACACACTGGCATTTCGATGAATCGTCCTACCTTGGTCCGTCGCAGTGAGAGACACGGCCTCCGGATATAAAACATAGGCAGCGATGTCTGAAGGAGACACGCGTCTGTAAGCTCTGAACTTCGTGATGGGCTTGTTCCTACTCTTTCTCCCTCCTTGTCAACTTCTTGTCCGCTCTTCCCTGAGTGTCTTGAGGATGTCTTCCTTGTACGACCGGGGCGTACCGCGTGCAGTCGCGCCCTCCGCCTGGTCGTACTCAACCGTCACCGTCGCCTTGCCTGCGGGGTGCAGATAAGCCAGAGTGCCTACAGGCGGACACACACACACACACACACACACCAGGCAGGTGAGCACAGCAGCAGGCAGGCAGGCAGGCAGGCACCTGTTTGTACGTCTTGTCAGTGTCAGTCTATCTCTCTATCTCTCTGCCTCTCTCTCTCTCTCTCTCTGTGTGTGTGTGTGTGTGTGTGTTTGTGTGTGTGGTGTCACTGACTGTCGTTCCTGACGTCAGTGAGCCGCTTGCCCAACTTGTCAGCCAGCGACTGAGCCAAAGGCATCAGCTCCGGGGTGTCGTCAAATGCCTTCTTGACGTGTGGGAGGCCTTCTTGACGGTGATGTGGTCGGCGTCAATCTTCAGCTGAGTGCCCAGATCGTGTAGTATTTGTGTCGCGAGAAGGTCGAGGTCTGGCTCCTGATTCCGAGTGCAGAGGTGCGTGCTCGAGTTCAGACCGGAAATCCTTGCCGGAAAAGCGCACTAGAAAGCCCTCGAGATGAACGCTGGGAACGTTGATGTGCTCGAATGCACCCGATGGGTGCAAAAAAACAGAAAAAAGGGCTGCATACCAGCCTCATCATCGAACTTAGCCTTCCTCTCGGCCTTCAACGCAGCAGTCACATCTAAATCGAAGACAAGACACGAACGAAAACACCATCCATCGGCACACACCAGTGAGGGCGTGTTATTGGGTTGTCATGCGTACCGCTCTCCAACTGGCGTCTACGTCTCTGCCGCTCGTCTGTGTGCGGAAAGCATCAGACAAGACGCAATGCGTTATGTACAGTAGAAGAGTCGCTGTCTCTTTATTGTACCCAGCGCGATTTGCAGCTCGTTGGTGCGAATGTTGTCGACGATATCCAGGTAGCGCTTGCGGTACTCTGCACAGACAGAAAGCAGCAGCCAGAAGTACCCGTCTGCTCCTTCACGGATGGTCAATTGGTTACCTGTGAGTGTGGTGTTGAGTGTCATCAACAGGGTGGCCCTACATTAGCCACATGACATCCACAAGACAAAGAGCACTGCCGTCGACATCGCTCCCTCACTCCCTCACTCCCTCTCTCCTTCCCACCTCCTCGTCCTCATCTGCCTTCCGGGCCTCAGCCGTCCCACCTCGGGGCGCCTCACGTCGCCACGGTCCCTGCACACACCAGCACACTTGCATTTCGATGAATCATCCTACCTTGGTCCGCCGCAATAAGAAACACGGCCTCCGGATATAAAACATAGGCAGCGATGTCTGAAGGAGACACGTGTCTGTAAGCTCTGAACTTCGTGATGGGCTTGTTCCTACCGTTCCTCCTTCTTTGTCAACTTCTTGTCCGCTGTTCCCGTAGTCGATGATTTGATGATTCTCCGAATTCCACTATCACCGTCCCTGCAGCACGACCAACAATGGAACAAGACACGTGCATCTCTGCTGGTGAGTCTTCTGGTGAGGATCTTAGCAAACGACGAAACGCACGGCCTCAAGACAAAGAGCGCTGCCGTCAACATCGCTTCCACCGCTTTCTTGTGTCGTGTGTCACTCATGAGCCGGTCTCACTTCCTGTTGCCGCTGAACTCCACATCCCCGACGTAATCGACGTTGTGCTTAATGTCGGCCACAATCCTCACGCACGTGTAGTCGAGGCCCTTTGCGCCGCTGTCGTACCCGATCTCCCTCAGCGTCTGGCGCATCACCTCGGCGTAGCCCACGTGCACATCCGGCTCTGGCGGGTACTGGAAGCGCTTCATGACGGTTCCCCAAGACATGACCAACCCTGCAACACACACAACACAACACACCACAACGCACCACAAAGTGGGTAGGTAGGTAGGTCGGTAGGTAGGCGTATCGTGTGTAGCGCTGCTCACCGTTGGGAGTGCACACGGTGTTGACTGACGTGAGGGCGTAGCGGTCTTGCTTCAGGCAGGCATCGAGCACGGCGTCGGAAACGCAGTCGCACATTTTGTCGGGTGGCCCTCGGTGACTGCCGAGGCGGTGAAGAGGAAGGAGCCGCGCGAGGGGGAGTGGGCCGCCGGCGCGGCAGACGTCAACACGTGCCCCTCAAGGCTGAAGTGTCGCTCATACATGGCACCAATCTGAACAAGACCAACACACCGCACCACACCACAGACAGCAAGAACATATGACTGACCCGCACTGAAGCCCCTCCCTCCCTCTCTCCCTCTCTGCCTCCCACATGCACGTACCTCGTGTGTGTGTGTGTGGTGAAGCTACCCGGAGTCCTGTGTGGGTGGCCATCGTCCGATCCCTCCAGCCCCTCACCATTGATTGCAGCACGGGTGTTCTTCACTGCCTCCCGAGCCGCCTCGAGCGCGTCCGACACGAACTTGAGTACCTCCTTGCACTCCTTGGCGCACTCCGACAGCGACCATGCTCCCGCGATCGCCCGGACACACACAGTGGCACAGCAACCTGACTGCATGGGTGGTAAGGCATGCACAGCACGCCACAAGAAGCGGATGTGCAGATGTGTCGTGTCAGTGTCAGCCTTGAGCAAGTGGACGTACTGTGTGTGTGTGTGAGGCTGTCCGTCCGGTGTTGTTGAGACGACGCGCGCACGAGACCACAGACCTGCACACCACACACACCACATACCACACACTGGTCCAACCACCACCCCTCTCGCCACACCCCACGCTCGTCTGCACGTACCTCTTCTCCCACGTCACGTGTGTGGTGAGTCGGAACTCCCGAGCACACGCACCAGACTCCTGCATGACACCAGGACACCACAGAGGAGCAGAACCTGTTGAGACATGGCCCGTGCGTCGTCTGGCTGATCTACCGCCTGAGGTCCCTCCCCTCCCTCCCAGCACGTCAGCCTGGCTCTCCGTCCTCCACGCCAGACTTCACACGCCACCACCACGCCCTCTCTCACCCTCAGTCGACACACCGGCCTCTCTGCCCCCGTGTTATGAGTTGCGCGCCCTCCTGGCTGCGGCCCGTCACTTCTGGCCTACTGGTGCTGTGTGGGGTGCTCCTCACCTGTCTGGTAGTCAGTGTGGTGATCCAGGTGACTTCAATGGCCTTCACACGACCCAGAAACGATGGAATCGGGGAGGGAGGCTAACAAGGCAGTTGAGGATCGTTGATGCACCACCAGGTGGTGCAAAAGAAAAGAAAGAAACCGGGAGAAAAACAACACCAAATGAGCTTGTATAACCCTGCGGTCGACCTGGATGGTCCTCGGCCACCGCCCAGGCGGTGAAGCGTCAGCATCAACAGTAAATTCGTCTCAGGATATAAAATGTAGCCAGCGATGTCTGAGGAGACACGAGTTTGTAAGCTTTGAGCTTCGTCACGGGCTTGCTCCTACCGTTTCTCCCTCCCTCGCATAAAGGTTTGCAGCCTGCAGGCGCGCCTCCGCCGTGCCGGAGGCCACCTTCTTGTCCTCGCCACCGTCATCCTCGAACGATGCCTGCCGCTGCATGAACACACACCACGACACACATGGGAGGGCTTCACGCGTGTGGATGAGATTAGAGGGAGGCCGCCCTCCCCACTCACCCAATTTGTGCATACCATGCCACACACACTCGACTCGTGGGTACCCTCTTCACGTCGTACGTACGCATCCATCCCGCTAGGCTATCGGCAGCACACCTTCTTCGGGACCATGCCAGCTGCATGCAGCGACAACAACCGCACGTCCACGCAAACGCGTCCATCCATCTACAATGCAGCTTCTTACCGTGTGGCAGTGTGTGTGGGGTGGTGATGGGGGGCGGTCCCAGCGCGCGGACCTGATGGAACGAATGGACAGCACACACACTCTCTGCTGTGTGGTTGGTGGTGGATTTGTTGCCTAATCCCTCTGGACGAGTCCGCGTACCTTGGCGAGATACGTCATGTGAATCTGGTGCATCTTCTTGTTGTAGTTGGCCTGAGTCTGCGCCATGTTGAGCGCTATCATTGACTGCTTGATCTGACGACAGAGAAGAGGTGACGCAGACAGCTTCAGCGTGTACTCATGCACCATCAATTTGCGCGCATTCACGCATCTTACCGCCAGCATCTGCGCAAATGGCGGGGCGAGTGGCGTGGGTGCCGGCCACGCACTCAACACCGGCACGGGCGCAATCTACCGAACATCACACGCACAGGGAAGGAGGGAGGTTTGCGCAAGACAACACAGGGACACCGCACGCACTCGTGCGTACCTTGTTGGTGGGTGTGGTGATCTTGGTCTGCTGCTCCTCAGCAACGTCCTCAGCAGGCGACTCGTCAACGGCATCAGGAGGCGATGGCGTCTCCTCTGTTTGCGCCTCACTACTCTGCAGACACACAGAAAGGAATACAGAAACACAGAAACCGATGAAGGTGACAGACACAGAGGTTCTCCCGTGGCCTGCCTTCCCTTCCTGCTCACCTCAACAGCGACGACATTCGTTTGGGTCGAGGCGTGACCCTTGCCCATGCCCTCGTCCCTCCCCATCGCCTCACTCGCAGCCTTGAGGCACTCGTCCCTCAGCTTGTGCTGCTTGGCGTCGACTGGTAGCAATCCCTGCACGCACACACGCAGACACGCAGACACACACATGAAGGACGATCACGAGAGAGCTTCAGTGGGTGTGCGGGTCTTCAGTGGGTGACGCACCTGATTCGTGAGGAGAGAGGCATATCTATCCCACTTGGCTGATGAACAAGGACGGTTCTGACCGCTGGTTGCCTACGTTCAAAGACCTGGAACGCTGCACAAGCAGCACACACAGTCAGTGCAGACACGGGATGGGTCGGTGTGTACGGTTGATACCTGTTTGTGTTTAAGACTCTGCTCGCTTTCACCTTGGATCAGGGTCTCCGGCTGCCTGCATACAAAACAGTGTCTCACCATATTCATATCTGCTCCATCGTCGTGCATACCAGGACTGAAATCACCTCGGAGATATAATATAAGGCGCAAGACCAGGGAGATATAAGACGCCTCGGGATATAAAATGTAGGAAGCGATATCTGAGACACCGAACATCTCTTTTACCGCTTCCCAGCTCCCAAATTCCCACATCATCATACCTGCCCCCTCCCTCCTCTGCGTCTAGCCGCAGCACTTGGCTGCCGGGTGGCCTGCACACATGCACAGACAGCGACAGAGGTCAATAGGACAACAATGCTCTACGCTTGTGTCTGTGTATTTTTCCGTGAGTGAATGCATCTTACGTGGAGCAAGCAAGAGCCGGTGCAGGTGGCGGCAAGGGCGAGGGCAGGGACGTGGCGTCGTTGGCGCTGTCGCTGTGCTGTGTCTTGTTGTTGGGCTGCTGGTCCGCTTGTCCCTCCTCATTTGTGACGGCTGTCGCGTCTTCCCACGGGATCAACACGCGTCAGTGTGGTGATGCGTCGTGCCACCATCTGACCGATGACACACAAAGCACAAACGACAGAAGGGAGTGTCCCATCGCCCGTTTGGCCGTACCTTGGGCAGCAAATAGTGTGACGTGATGCGAGTCTGCAGCACTTTGACGGCCCTCACACGCTGACAGACACAGCAAGCGAAGGTGTAATGCTGGGTCTGCACACATGGAGTCAGTGCACGCAAGAAAGGACACATGTGTGTGTTGATTGACAGGTGTTAGGGGCTCGCTCACTGACCTCCCGTCGTCCATGGGCGCCGCAACGAGAGCAAGAACCGACGGAACTGCACGAACACAGGAGTGGAGTGCTCTTCCTCTGCTCCTCTGCCTGCCTCTTTGAGCGCCTGCATACCTCCATGTGCGGCGGGAGGGCCGCGTATTGTGGTGGTGCCTGGCGTGTCGGGCGAGGGGCGCAGTGGCGCGGCGATCACAACATTGGCTGACATGTGTGGCTGTTGTGGTGGTGGAGGATTTGGCGGGTGTGAGAGGGCGGTGGGCGTGTTGATAGTGGCGGGGGCGGGGGACGGAGACAGCGGCCGGAACCGTGGTGGTGTGCTGATTGGGGGAGGGGTGATCGGCTCCCATGTCTCGTTGGGGATGACCATCTCGCGATCGTCGTCATCATCGTGCTGGAAAGGAACGGAGAGAAGTGAACGCAACACGCAAGCACGAGCAGGTCATGGTCCTCTTGTACCTGCGCCGGGTGCGGCCAGGGAGAAGGCGAAGGCGGGTCCCATTGGCCGGCCTCTTCTGGTGGGGCCAACCTGGTGAGCGGCGGATGCACGTCCTGATGACAACACACACACACACACACACAACAGGTGTATGTTATTGCCATTGCCACCAGCAGTAGGGGGTGTATCTGTGTTTGCCTTGAGTGTCAGCAGCTCTTCGCGATAGACATTCAACTCCATCCTGCACAGAGACACACACACACGGATGGACAAGCGAACGAACGCATTTGTGCCCATCAAAGTGCCCCCCTCCGTACATGAGCACGCCGTTCTGCCACTCGCTCCTCTCCAGCCTGGCCTGCAAGTCGACCTGCTGCGTCACGCATCCCTGAGTGAGTACACAATACACATGCCCCCACACACCATTCCCTCAGCCGTGTGCTTCTGTATGTCGTCAGCTTACATCTTGCTCGTCAATCTGCTGTCTCAGCTAGCCGACGTCTCGCTCTGCCTCGTAGACGCACCGCAGGACACGGTCCGTCAGGTCGCCGATGACCTCGTGTGTGATGGCCTGCTTGACCCTGTGAACGGCCCTCTCCTTCTCCAGCTGCTGCTCCAGCCTGGGCGAAACCACAGCGCACGACGACACACAACGTTTGAGGCATGGCAGTGGTGTGTGCGCCTTGGTCTCTTACAGGGCGATTCGCTCGCAAGCCTCCTCGGCCTCAGACTGAAGCTTGGCGCTTCCCTTTCTCTCCCTCCTGTATCAAAGAGAGCACGATGAGAAAAGCAGATTGTTGTTGGTGCGTGGATGCCTTACTCGAGGTCGGTCTCGGCCTTATACAGCTGGTCAACGAGCCGCTCGTTGCCAGTGTCGAGGTCTTGTTTCTGCTTCTTGACGTAACTGAAAGGCAGTAGTTCCAGATGCAGACATTCTGACTGGCAAGGTGATGGCCTTCTTGTCGCCTCACTCTTGCTCGACCTCCAGGGCAACGAGATCGTCCGTGGCATCGCTGAGCGAAAAGAAGGACGGCACACAGTCATGATGAGGAATGAACGATGGGTGCACTTACAGAAACTGGCCACACGTCTCGCACTTCTGCAGGGACCGCACAGACACATCACACACCACCGTGGTCATCAGAGTGACACGAAAGAGACAGCACATGCATTAGTGGATACCTTGGTGCCCTTGATGGTGCTGTCCTCCGGGTGATCCTGGTCCTGATGGTCTTGTGGCCCCTCCGGCAGCTCTCGGTCTTCCTCCTCTTCGTCGACAGATGCATTGGATAGCCGCTCCAGGTCTTCGCCAGTCGCGTCGGGCTGCATACAACCAGAGCAAATGAAAAGATCCGTGTAGTCAATTCACGTGGTTGTTCGGTGGATACCTCTTCGTCTTCCTCTCCGTTGAGTCCTTGTCCTCGTCGATGGTTGGCACGGCCGGCCGCCACTGTCTCTGAACATCAGCAAGGAGCGATGCGTCTGTGTGACACGACATGCTGCAATACGTACCTCGGTCCGGCGCTTGCTGGGCGACGACGCCAACGCGTCCTGCATACACACAAGGACCACACAAGTCTCTTTCTCATGGCCCTGCCGTCCTTTGCTCCTTTATGGCGTCCTGGATGTGCACGCTGCAATCAAAGGGCGCAGCTGCATGTGCAACTGTTGGTTTGCACATCCAAGACGCCATGACAGACAATGCCGTGTGGATGATGCATGTCAAAAGGTTGACAGCCCTTACTGACTCGCGGGGCCTTTGGCCGGAGCGTTGAGCATCAGGCGTTGACAAGGTTTCAGCCTCCTCCACCTGTCTACAATTTGACAATAATGAATTGAGCTCAATGCCTACCTGTCAGCGCCTCCGTGCGCGAGAATCGGAAGAAGAGACCGCAGGATATAAAATGTAGACAACGATCGACCACATTGACAGCTCAAGCTGCTCAAGCTGCCACATTCATTCATTCACACACACATCACCACACACATTTGTCCATGTATGTGAATGCATTTGCATAGCCACCTACCGGCGTCGACTGTTTGTTGTCGTCTCGAATCGTGATGGAAATCGACATCTCCCCCTACACAAACACGTGGGAGAGACATATGTATAAATGTCTATATGTCTGTGTCTGTGTCTGTTTGTCTGCTCGCTCCCGTACTTTGGCAGTGTTCTTGGTCGCCAGAGCGGTTATGATATTGTCAATGCCGACTCGGTCGGCCACCGTCCCTACAACTGCAGCCTGCATGTTGGAATGAATGGTTGCAGGTTGCCATCGAACGAGCGAATGAATTGTGTTTTGGTTGTGCTATGTCGATCTGTGCAAGCGTGTATACCAGGTTCTCCTTTGGTGTGATGTCTATGTCTCGAATCGGATGGAAATCGACATCTCCTCCTACACAAACACTCGAATGGTCCTTGATTGCCACTATTCTCTGGGGGCTTACACGTTGGGGGCGGGCGGGTGTCTGCTTCTCGCCCTCCTCGATGTTGTCCTGGGTGTCGTTGGCCGCCTTGGCCTCTGCACACAGAAAGGATACATACGTCTCATACTGTGCATCTTGTGCACTTCGGCCCGATGCCTACCGGTCTCGTTCCCCTGCTGCTGCTCCTGCTCCTGTCCCTGCTTTTGCACACAACCAACAGAGCACAGACACACAGCAGCGTGTGTACTTGGGTCTTTTCATCATGGGCACTCGTGGCTACCTGGGTGTCGTTCTGCTCCTGTTGCTGATCGCCTCCTGCTCCTCCCGCGTGCTGCACCTGCTGCTCCTCGGGTTCTGGTCCTGCGCACAAATCAACAGAGCACAAGACACACAGCAGCATGTGTACACATGAGGTATTCATCATGGGCATCGTGGCTACATGGGTGTTGGTTTGCTCCTGTTGCTGGTCCTCCTCGCCCCCCTCCTGCTGCTGATCGGCATGTTCCTCGCCCTGCTGCTCCCCAGTCGCTTGCTGTCGGTCCTCGGCCTCCCCCGCGTGCTGCACCCCCTACAGGACACAGACAGACAAGAAGCACCCAGTGCGATATAAAAAGGAGGGAGATACCACACACTCACAGATACCTGTGTGGTGGCTGGTTGCTGTTGTTCCTGTCCTTCTTGCCCGTCCTCCTCCTGCCCATCGACTTGCCCCGCTCCTGCAGAAGGGCACACACAAAAGGCAGCATGCGAAGCGCCGATACACAACCGTACACGTGCCCCTTAATCGTCCGTCCTACCGGGCCCTTCCCCCGTCGCGCCTCTATTGCGGCCTGCATGACAGAGACGCATGGATGCATCCCTCCCTCCCCCACAGATGAACACATATTCTCTTGCTCAACTTACGTCCTCCGACCTTGAACCTCCCCCCCGCAACATTGTCGAGGATCGTCGTTCCTGGGTCTCTCGACATGACCCACAGATTCATAGCCGCTGCTCTTGCTCCTGGTTCTGGTTATGCACACAAACCAACAGAGCACAAGACACACAGGAGCATGTGTACACACGAGGTATTCATCATGGGCATTCGTGGCTACCTGGGTCTTCGTCTGCTCCTGTTGCTGATCGGCGCCTTGCTCCTCGACGGCGTCCTGGCCATCCTCGTCCTGCTGCTCCACAGTCGCCTCCTGTTGGTCCTCGGCCTCTTGCTGTACCCCCTACAGGACACAGACAGACAAGAAGCACCGAATGTAATATAGAAAGGAGGGAGATACCACACACTCACAGATACCTGCGTGATGGCTGGTTGCTGTTGCTCCTGTCCTTGTTGCTCGTCGTCCTGTTGCTCCTGCTCCTCGACTTGACCACCCTCTCCTGCAGAAGGGCACACACAAAAGGCAGCATGAAGCGCCGATACACAACCGTATACGTACCCCTTAATCGTCCGTCCTACCGGGCCCTTGAGCCGCCGTGTCCCTGTTGCGGCCTGCATGACAGAAATGCATGGATGCATCCTTTTCTCCCCCATAGATGAACACATGTTCTCGTGCTCAGCTCACCTCGGCCGACCTTCAGCCTCCCCCCAGCCACGTGGTCCAACATGGTGGTGCCCGGGTTTCTCGACATAATCCAGAGGTTCATCATGCGCTGGAGGAGGAAGAGCACCCTCTTGCTCGCTGGCCGACACAGACAGACAGGCAGGGGAAGTGACTGAATGAGGAAGCGAACACAAGGAAACTTCACGTTTCTCACTCCGTGGGGTGTGCTGCTGCTGGCGGCCTCCAGAAACCCGACACTGCACAGAAATGAGAGCATCCTTGTGGAAAGTGACGATGAACCTTTTGGTGTCTCGTCTTACAGGCCACTCCAGCCACTTTGTCTATGGCGTTGTGCACCGCCTTCGACTTGGACTTGTACTTGGCCGCTGCTTCTGCTGCTGCTTCTTGTTCTTCTACAACCCTGAAGAAAAGCCAGACAAATGAGAGTATCGATTGCTGATCCTCAGGCGTGTGGGTACATTTCTGCAGCGCGGGCGGCGAAGATTCTGACTTTGACATCACCTCGGAGATAATGTATAAGACGCAAGACCAGGGAGATATAAGACGCCTCGGGATATAAAATGTAGGAAGCGATATCTGAGACACGGAGAATCTCGCCGATTCCCAGCTCTCAATTTCCTACATCCTCATACCTGCCCCCTCCCTCCTGCTCCTCTTGCGCAGCGTCTCGGGGCTGACCTCGGGGGCGTGCCGCGTGGCCGACCTTCTCGCACTCGACCGTGACCATGGCCTTGCCCTCCGGATGCAGGTAAGCCAACGTGCCTGACACAGCCACACGTGTACACATATGTGGGAGGGAGGGAGGCGGGCGGTGCGTGTTGGTGTGGTGTGCACTGACCGTCCTTGCGCACGACAGTGAGGCGGTGGGCGAACCTCTCGGCCAGGGATTGGGCCACAGGCAACAGATCAGGCGACTCGGTACTCGCGTAGCCCGACACACAAACCATGCCCTCTGACACACACACACACACAGAGAGAGAGAGAGAGAGAGAAGGAGAGAGAGTGTACACAGAAGTCCCTCCCCGCTGTCTGTCTGGCTTTGTGTGTGTCGTCAATCAATCAGTCAGTCAGACAGACGGACCCACCGAAGGGCGTGTCGTCCCAGTTCCTCAGCTTGTAGTAGTACCCGCAGTACTTGACCGCTGCCGTCACGCGCACCGTCCTGAAGTCGAGACCGTTGGACTCGTTGTCGTAGTCGATGGGCTTGTCGAAGAACTTGCTCTTGCCGAACACCATGATAGTGCCTGCAGCGCAAGACATCAATCACACATCACAGATACCGCATCACATTGATGAGAGTTGGGTGTGTGCATACCCTCTGCCGGCTCCCGCACGGCCGCCGCCTTTGCGGCCGCCTCGGCGTAGATGGACTTTAACCTTGAGCAGCTCTGCACACATGAATGAATGAATGAATCACACCCACAAAACTCGTGTGTGTGTCTGTGTTGATGTGTAGGCTAGGCGTGACGTACTGAGGTCGCGCAGCATGATCGCCCGCCTCTCGGCTGCATCCATCAATGCATCGAAAGCAGGCAGGACAAACAGAGAGAGGCCATCTGATGATCTTATAATCATTTCTCTGTGCGTGTGGCGGCGGATTGTATGTATGTATGTATGTATGTATGTGTTACATACCGGCCTTGATGAGTTTGGCCCGCTGCTTGCGAATCGTGGCAGTGAGCGCTGAACACACATGGATGGGATGCGCAACGCACACAGAACACCGTCAGAAGGACGGACGTGGATGAGTGTGTCTCTCGAGTCTGCTGGTGGATGGATGCATACCTGCCTCGGCCTCAAACTTGGCCGTCCGCTCCTTGTGCGAGGCAGCCGTGACCTCTGAAACCAAGACAGACAAGACAAGACGCACAAACAAGCGCCATCCATCCATCCATCCAATCAGTCACATGTCATCTATTCATTATTGTGTAGGTAGGTAGATGGGTAGGTACTTACCCTCCTGCAGCCGGCGTCTACGTCTCTCGCGCACCTCTGCGTACAGAGGAACACAACACCAACGAGCAGCACAGCACACATGTTTGATGCACAGCACGTCGGCATGTGCAATTGCTGTGTCTCTGTCTGCGAGCGACACCTACCGTCTGCGAGTACCTGTTCCATCCGGCGTCTCCATTGCACGCCGGCTCGTTCAGGCGGTGCGTGAGGGTCGAAAGAAGATGCCGACGAATATAAAATGTAGACAACGATTTCGTGGCCCCGACTGCCTGCAGAGTCAGTACAGACGGACAACTATCTCAATTGGAAAGTCCCTCTTGCCTCTCTCTGCCCCCGTGCTATGAGTTACCAGCCCTCCTGGCTGCGGCCCGTCACTTCTGGCCTACCGGTGCTGTGTGGGGTGCTCGTCACCTGTCTGATGGTCGGTGTGGTGATCCAGGTGACTTCATGGCCTTCACACGACGGAGAAGAGGTGGAATCGGGCGGGATTGTATGCTCGTTGAACCAAGCAGCCAAGCCAAGCAGCCTCAACAAACTGGACGCCCACGCATCCCACTCCCTCTCCCTCCCTCTCCCTCCCTCCTACTCCTATCTAGCCGCAGCACTTGACGACTGCATGACGACGGTCTGCACACATAACAACCAACAGAGGTCAATATGTAGTACAAATATTCCCCACACTCAGGTGTGTGAGTGTGTGTATGCATCTTACGAGGGGCCACTTACGAGGGCCCACGCCGAGAGGTCCGGCAGGTGCGAGTGCGGTGATCCGACGCGCCACCATCTGACCGATGACACACAAAGCACGAACCACAGAATGAGGTGAGTGTGCCACCACCCCTTCTTTCAGCCTCCTATGTGCTCACCTTCGGCGGCAGGTAGTGTGACGTGATGCGAGTCCGCAGCAGCTTGACGGCCTTCACACGCTGACAACACACAGCAGGAAGCACACACATGCTATGCTGCACACGTGTGTGCATGTGTGTGTGTGTGTGGGGGGGGGGGGCACTGATGATGCCCTTACCTGGCTAACGACTGGGAAGCGCCAGTCATACGGCACCTGCTGAACACACAACCGACATACGACACAGATGTGCGCATGTACGCGCCCATGTACCTGGCAGTAGATGGGATGCGGTGCCTTGTGCTCCGCCTCGTCGACGCCGGTCTTCATCGGCAACGAGCCCTACACACACACACGCACGCGCGCGCGCCAAAACAGGGACCATCAGCCAGTTGGATGCATGGATGTCTTCTGCGGCCCTCCAGCCAGTGGGTGACACATCTCACCTGGCTCATGAACGTTGAACATGACCAAACAACGCAGATCCCTGCAGCCAGCAAAAAGAGAGAGCGAGAGAGGCCAGTTGGTGGGTTTGCTTTCGTCTTTCATCGACCAATTAACACACCCGGGGGTCATAGCGAGTGGTGGCCTCGGAGAACTGCAATGTGAAAGGCACCCATTCACCCACCCACCCACCCACACACACAGACATGTAAAA